ACTGGTAGAAGAGCTTTTGGCAGCAGAGATAGAGGCAGAGAACAAGGAGAGGAGAGATTGAAATTCAAGCAGGTCGTCAGGTCGTTTATATTTACGCCATCTCCTTTCCGACGCTCGCATGGTGGCTCTCATGGCACGGACCGGTTGAGACAGCCACGGAGCCGGAGGGGATTTGCCAGTCCGTCGTGTCGTAAGAGGGCAGAGAGAGTCTAGAGAGGAGGAAAGAGTTGAGAGGAGAGTCTCTGCAGCAGCGTTCGGATGCAAGAGTGAGAAGGAGTCAGTTGAAGGGAGAGCTGATAGAACAGAGGATGCCTGTTGAGGTTCCATGTGTCCTTAAGGTGGTTCTAGAGATCACTGATGAGGTTCCACGTGTCCTTAAGGTGGTTTTAGAGATCACTGATGAGGTTCCACGTGTCCTTAAGGTGGTTTTAGAGATCACTGATGAGGTACATGTCCTTAAGGTGGTTCTAGAGATCACTGATGAGGTTCCATGTGTCCTTAGGGTGGTTTAGGTAATTACGTTTTAAACATATTTTAGGTGGTTGTAGTTGTCCTTAGTGGAGCTTGAGGTGATAGTAGCCTGAAGGAGGTTTCAGTGCCTACTTAGGAGGGACAAGGGTTCTATATGGTTCTAATTACACAATACAATGTTCTTACAGGTAACTATAATACGGGTAGATGAAATCCAGCATTCTGATGGGTTGAGAGTGAGTCACGGGGTGTACATTATTCAGCGATAATGTACAGTAGCTGTTCACATTGACCCGAGCGTTCCACATCACTGCGCACTCAAAGAAGCAGGTTAGATTTTGGGCGACAGTTTAGCTCGGTGGCGGTCGCCGAAAAAAGACCAGAAATCCCGAGCGAGCTTTCACAACTGGACAATTCAGGTGGACGTCATAAGCGATGTGAATGAATGAGATGCTGTGAGATGCTGTGAGCAAGGAGAACCCAATGCTGTTTTTCTCTGGTGGTCGGTGGTTAGGATCCTTTTTCACAACGGGGTAAGCTGATCTCAGTTGGGTATTTAGCAACATGCAAATTCCATGTAACGTTGAATGAGTATCTGTTTTTTTCTAACTTTATTGACAATTTAGTAGATCACAGCGACAAGTAGCGCAGCGTGATGTGTGTCTTAATGCGAGGCTTTAGAAATGAACACAAAGGATTCTGTATTTGCTCATGAAGTCTGCGTCTTCGTGTCGAATGAGTTCATGGTTAGTAGTCAGTGCGCCGGTCCTCTCTGTCCGCTGGCTTCGGTCACTTATCAAAACACCGGCCAAATGACCCGTTTCAGACTTTATGAGCAAATACAGAATCCAGTTGTGTTCGTTTCTAAAGCCGCATCAAGACACACATGACTTTATTTAAGATGCTGAGCTTACTTTGCAAGTTGCTGTCAGACAATCTGGTAGATTGTCAATAAAGTTAGAAAAAAACATGTACGGCAAACCCACGGTCACGAAGATACTCATTTAACGTTACATAGTATTTGCATGTCGCTAAATACCCAACTGAGATCGGCTCATGCCGTTCTGAAAAAGGAACCGGCCACAGACCACTTTTCTCACTCGCCATCACTCACGTTTGTGCTGAAAGGCAGCTATTTACTTACTATTTATAATTTTGCTGGTAACTGTGTTATAAAAGCAATAAGGTGCTTTATCTTTAATAATAACAGTTTGAGGGTTGCCTGTCGTCCACTGCGCATCAGGCCTAACATCTGTACAGCCTCCCGTACCTTATTGCTTAAATAAAGCTCAGGTCTAAGATGTGAGATCATTCTAAAGGGTTCCCCACAGTTCCTTCTGTTCCCAACCACTGGAATTGTGGTTCTGATGAAGGGCATTGTGGTTCTGACGGTTCTGATGAAGGGCATTGTGGTTCTGACGGTTCTGATGAAGGGCATTGTGGTACTGATGGTTCTGATGATGGCTCTTGAAGCTCTTAAGGGGATCTTGGATTGATCTGTGGGATCTCATTGTAGACCTCAAGATGCTCAGAACCCTCCAGGTGTGTGTCCCCGTCTGTCTGCAGAATCAAACCCAGACTAATAACTGACCGCGTGATCAGCTGCCATGTTTCAGATCGATGGATAAAATCCCACACGCGCACACTGGTCCTGTTCGGCTGTCTGCTTCGGGGATATGAACACGCTGATCAGCTGACAGCAGCCGGATCGATAGTAATCGTGAGATCGGAGGCGAAACATCTGGCAGACGCGTCATCATCATGCAGCCATACTGGGGCACGAGCCTCCATCCACTGCAGCGACATGTCGGTCAGTGTGCGCGCGTGCAGGACACCCTTTGGCAGCGCACGTACCCCCATCCTCACTCGACACATTTTTATATACACATCTTTACACAAAAAATAAGATTAAACACGAGAAGAAGCCGCAGCCGTGCGAGGCTGCAGCTCGGTGCGCGCTCGTGTGGGCGCGTGCCCGTACAGCAGGTCGGTCGGTACACGGTGCAGATGTGTGCTCGCACGCGCGCGGCGTGCAGCGGGACTCACCTCTGCTCAGGCTGCTTCTGTCCATGTACATCGCGCAGCAAAACACCAGTCCGCTCATTAAAGAGAAGGTCGGTGCGGGGAGCGCGCGGCGCGCCCGGTCCACGCACACACGCACGCACACACACACACACACGCACACACACGCACGCACACACAAAACCTTCCGGACCGGGTCGCGGAAACCGACAGCCCACGGACGGGCTGCTGCTGCTGGACGGAAGAGGAGGAGGATGTTAGATCCGCTCGGTTTGGGGCAGAGGGCTGCCCGGTAAGCGAGAGACGGGCGGGCGGCCCCAAAAAAAAAAAAACCGAAAAAAAAAAAAAGACCGAAAAAAAGAGAGGGGGGGGGGGGGCGGTCCCTCACTCTCTCTACCATTTCGGTTTCCTTGACAACAGATTGAGGGATGTGTGGGAGCGTACCTGTATGTTAGTGTGTCTCCATAGACAAAAAGTAAAACAATACATCTGCAAATAATGTATTCAATATTTGGATTCCGACTTCATCAGAGACACCTGTACAGGTGAGGTGGGCGGGCTATAGGTTTAACCTCCATGCTGCTCTGTGATTGGCCTAAAGACAGAATGACAATTGATGACAAGTTGATGACCTCAGAGGAATGTGAAGACTCCTGGCTGAAGGTCAGACTAAAACAAAGACCCCGTAGAGCAGACAGACGGACATGGAGACATCCACTGCTGAGGGACAGTTAAACTCCACCCCTCTGAAAAACAAGCGCACCTAAACACTTCACATCCGGGTGAAGGACAAACAAACGGACCCTCTTATCGTCTCGCAGGGGAGGAGATAAACTGGAGGCTGACTACACACACACAGACACACACACAGACACACACACATACACACACACATACATACATGCACACACACACACACACACACACACACACACACACACACACACACACACACACATTACAGGTTATTTAGCAGACGCTTTTTACATTTCTGCCCGGGGAGCAATTAGGGGTCAGGTGTCTTGCTCAGGGACACTTGGACACGGGACATGGGGCAGCCGGGACTTGAACCACCAACCTCGTGGTTCCCAGCGCTCCCTCTCTACCCCGGCGCACAACGAAATATGAACCTAAAATACCTGAAGTGAATACACATTCCTACCAACAAACAAATAAATGATTTATGACAGAACAGGAAATATGGCTCCAATTCCGTGTGGATCCTCAATGAAAAACCCTTTAAGCTCATTTACTTCCTTTAAACTTCCCGTCACCGGGTTATGGCCCATTCTCTTAAAGGGGCCCCATGAATTTGGTCCTTTGCGATCCTCTACAATGTGATTTTATATTTTACAATATAACACCTATATCCATAGACATTGGATTACATTTAGCAGAGTTAATTGAGCTGAGTCTTGCACGAAGCAGTGCATGCTGGGCCAAATAGGTAGATCCGAGTCCTCTGACGTGAGAAGTGTAGGAAAGGACGTCACATTAAAACGTCACAGCCTTGTGAGGAGGAAGAACATTACTGACATCTCAGAGTTTGTTTCTGCTTCACTAATAAACACAGTAAAACTAGGATGTACTCTGTACACGACAGTACTCTGATGTTTCCCACAATATCAGCTGGTTATTTTCATTATATTTAAGTGGAACAACCCAACAGCTCCAGTGATTATTATTATCATTGCCTGTGATTTCCTACCCACTAAGTTCTTCAGCAACAAGCAGATTTAGATGATCAGCTTTTTATATTTATTGTTAGGTTGCATCAACACATTCATTTGTTTGTTTAAAAACTTTTATTAATAATCAGACACAAAGTTAAAAACAGACGTGAACAGCGAGCGACGGTCCTTCAGCGAGCCTCCGATCTGCTCCTCAGGCTGTAGCGAGGCTAACCAATCAGGAGAGAGGAGAGGTCAGAGGTCAGAGTACCACGGTGACGCTGCATTGTTGGTTTGAAATACTGCATTAAGGAAACGCGCTGAGATCTGGGGTCCGTTTCAAGAAGCCGCTGCAGTAAAAACTGAGCCTGTGAACGTCTCCCTCTGACAGCAGCCCAGCCAATCACAGCGCTTCACTTTCCTCATTCATTCACTCGGTATCAGTTTACACGTATGAACTAAATAAGCTGTTACGTTAAAGACTAACGTCTTTCTGGAAGACGTCACGTCCTTTTCTGGACGATCCTGTTGATGAAGAAGCGCTTTTACTCCTCAGGCCGTTAAACACGTCGGGGGAGAATATTGAGGCCGATTTACGGTGACCCGCCACACATCCAACTCCTCACGCCAGGGAATCGGACTCCGGCCCCCGAGCCGTGTGGCAGTCGCATCCACGGCACACCCAACCCCCCCCCGTTGGCAGTAGCGTCCGCGGCGTCCCCCTACCCCTTTTATTTACAACACTTAAATATAATTGAAGAACAAAACAGCGGTAAAACGATGGTGAAACACTAAGAGGACACTTTTAAGACACTGGTAAAACATCTCCATCTCTTCGTGACTTCCTGCTGCGTCACTTCCTCCTCATCACAGCCTCTCAGTCCCGCCCCTCATTTATTGATTGACATAATATCTAGAAAGCGGCATTTCTCAGCTTTCAGAATCCGATTGTGCAAATAGTTCAGGAGTCACGGTAATTTGAATCCTCGTGTCACTTTCCGACGCAAGCGAAAGGCTTCGGATTAAGAGTTAAAGGACACACAGTCAGTCTGTCCAATCAGAAGGGTCTGTCCTCTGCTTTCTGCTATAAGGTCCCGCCCTTTCCGTAAGAAGTTAATGTTGTTGTGTTTTGCACTTCAGGGCCACCGTACGATTAGATATATTCTCATTTCCAGATGACTACTTGTTTGAACGCTATCGTTTTTATTCACCGTCCATCAAATATGTCCATGACCTCAGCCGTCCTCATAGAAGCAACGTCCCCATGGTGGACGTGCTCTCACATACGAGCACATTCTTTGTGTAGTATCACGTGTTTTCCTTTACAACATTAGAATATCAGTAAAGCTGCTGCATGCAGAGCCGTGAGAAACGTCTTTTAAACCTTTTTGTTGGACACAAACCAGTGAGACGTTAAAGAGGAGTTCAGCAGGACGCACCTGAAGGACACATTACAGGTCCAACACCATCGAACCAGCTTATACCAGCCATATTATTCTAAATATGAGCATGTGTGTGTATTTCCAGCCTGTGTGTAGTGTATTCTACCAAACAGTGTAAAAACTGGGAATTAGTAAAACGTATGGATTATGATTAGTGTGTACATTAAATATTAACACTATATTGGAACATAAGCCGTTTCTCTGTCTTTTGCTGCAGTAGCGTGTTGCTTTTCTTTCTAATTACGGGTTCATACTCGTACGCTTGCATTAATATTTGCAGGTGAATATATTGTTTGTGGTGGTTGCCATGGTAACAGCCTTCATACTGTGATGGTGCTGAGTCAACCCACTCCGAGTTGATTGAACCAACTCCAAACAGCTGTTCTGAAACCCAAACGTTTCCCATCTCAGTGAATCAACTTAGGGTTCAGGGTTTGACTCAGAATTTGTTAAAATGTCCTACTTGATGCAGACCCCAGATCTTAAGGCCTGCCCCCCTTCCCTGTGATGTCACAGCTAAAACCCCAAACAATCAATCAGATGGGATTCACCTCGTTTTCCTCCACGAGGATGCTGTAGACCAGCGGGGAGGAGGCAGAGCCACGGGAACGCCTGCATGACCTCACAGAAGCCTTCTGGTTGGAGGGACTCTGCGCTGAGGCATTGTGGGTATTGGTTACTGTACTGCGTAGCCTTCTCTCAGTACTCCAACCTGCAGTACAAGTACATGCTGCACACTGTTAATTCACAGAGGTGAGAAAGGCTGTGAGAGAGCTGAGACAGTCACTGACCAACATGTGGGAGGTGAGACCGGTCCGGTTGGTCTTCGGTTAGAGACAACAAGGAACTGCACATCTCTTCTCTTTCTACTTCCTCTCTTCTCCTCTCCGGCCTCCTCTGAAAGAGATGTGATTGGTCGGTTTGATGTGACATCACCGGTTCTCTTCAGATCTCACCTTCACAGTCAGCTGATTCTTCTTCTGCTGCTCCCCCAAAGCCTCTGCAGACAGTGTAATGGTCAAAATATGTTAGAACATTGTCTTGTGCTAAACCCGTGTCTCAAGTGTCTGTGTTTGACCCTGATGTGCAAAAGCAGAAAAGATTTAAGGTTTCCATAAGCAGCGGTCTGAAGAAGGGAGTTGACTTGCTCTCACAGGCGCTGGAACAAAGGAACAGTGCGTGTTACCCTCATCTTCACCTTGGTTCTTCTCGTACCTCTAAGGATGGTCTTCACATGTAAAAGATGGGTGGCCAGAACGCAAAGCAAACGGGCCCCTCGGGCATCCTCTTCTCCCAAACAAGTTTTATTGAAATATTCCACAACAACAGACGGTCAGTCAGACAGACAGACAGACAGACAGACAGACAGACAGACAGACAGACAGACAGACCAGCTGGACTCACCTGCGTGCTGCAGCGCCTCCTGCAGGCTCTTCTGAGTCTCTCTGAGTTGCTGCAGGAGCTGAAGACTCTGCTGTAGAGGATCTCTGAAGGTAACACACACATACAGCAGGACACACACCGCTACACACACCATTAGGCGCCGCAACACACTCACATACACACCAACCAGCTCCTACACACACATGCACACAGGCAGGCGGTTATGACAGGTGGGATCTTCTCCCCTGACAGATGAGACCTCCTCACCATGTGTTTGTGCTCAGCGTGGTCAGAGCTTATCACACTCAGGTAGATCCTCCTCTCCAGGTAAAAGTTCACAAACACCAGAGTCAACAGCAGCAATCTGCGGGTGAGGAGGAGGAGCAGTTATCTGGCTGAAGGTGGAGGTGAGGAGGAGGAGCTTTCTGGCTGAAGGTGGAGGTGAGAAATTACTTTGCTGAAGGAGGTGAGGAGGAAGGTCTACCTGGCTGAAGGTGGAGGAGACGGGGAGGAGCAACTGGGCTGATGGTGGAGGAGAGGAATTAACTGGCTGAAGGAGATGAGGAGGAGGGGCTACCTGGCTGAAGGAGGAAGTGAGGAGGAGGGGCTACCTGGCTAAAGGTGGCGAGGGGGAGTAGTTACCTGGCTCGAGAGGAGCGCTGGGTGGAGGTGACGAGGAAGGAGGTGCACAGAGCACCGGCATTGTAGCAGCAGGAGCTCAAACTTTGAGCTTCCATTAGCAGAAAGCTCTGCAGGAAAGAAACTCTGTTGAAGAGTTCAGAGAGCGCCACCTGCTGCTGTCTGGAGGCAGTGCTGAGCTCAGAGAACACCACCCGAAGGCCTTGAAGACAGACATGAGGAGAGACAGACAGGTTAGCGGAGAGAGGCTAGAGTCCTTTTTGCTTAGGAAGGTTCCTCACTGAGTGAAATTACCCGGAAGTAACGGAAGTGGCCGCTAGGGCGGTGCAGTGTGGTCAAAATTCCATATCACGGTATTTAGAAAGATTCTGGCGGTATCCCGGTATATCACGGTATTTACCAATAACAATAACCAAAATGGGACAAAGCACGAAATACACCATAAGACACCAGATTAAAAAATGAATGGTCCAAAAAGGTGAGTAAATAAAAACATGTCTTTAGTCTTGCTAACTGCTTTACTGCAGTTATTAGCGAGCTAACGCTAGCTTGTTCAGCTGGAGGCTCTTTATGTATTGCAGTGTTGCCATTGAAACTTTACTTTATTTAGTGTGAAATGCTCGCACACAAAGGACGAACAGACGTGCATCTCTGCAACTCATTGAGTGATGTAATTATTGCGCGACACAACGAATCGATAATGAACACTTTTAATAATCGATTTTATCGATTCATTGTTGCAGTTCTAGACTTTGCAATAAATCGTTTTCTGATCTAACGCAACTTACGTCGGCGTTTCCAAAACCAAAACCCCCAAAACTAACCATAACCCTTTACCCTGTTAAGAGTGTTTGTTGTGCGTTGTTGGTATAAAGTTGTAACCATGACTCAATCGTAGTAGCTCTGACCGCTGAAGGCTCCTCCATGACGCGTAGAAATAAAACCTGCTGAAGAGCAACGTCCGTTGTTGTGCCGTAACACCGGTATGATTTGAACCAGTATACTGTGCAGCCCCAGTGGGCGCCATAATAAGAGCTGCTGTTATGGAAGCAGAAAAGATGCTTCAATGCTTCCTTTACCATATGGAACCACGGGACCACCCGTTACCAAAGGAAAGGAGATCATTCTGTCCCACAATTCCCTGCGGCAGCAATATGCATAGCCAGTGGAAGTGGAGTTGGATTCCCTAAACACTGTGTTGTCTCTTCCTAACTCCTCATGAATTCTCCTAACCATCTTTCCTTGACCCTGTGACGTATTCCACAGGGGTCAAGGAATAGTGGTTTGGTTTTTGGACTATTCAGAACCAGCCAGAACAGGACTCCTTCTCAGTGAGTGCGAGTGTGAGTGTGTCACCCTGGGTGGAGTCTCTCAGGGTGACCCTCAGCTCATCTCCGTTGTTTAGGATGTCCTTCTGCACCTGTAAGGCAGCAGTCTGTGCATCGATTAACTCCTCAGCCATCTGCCTGGTGGACTGAAGCTGTTCAGCTACATCTGCTGAGCTCTCAGTCAACCTGGACAGACAGACAGACACAGTACTACGGTTAATTCTTTCTTTTGTTGCTCAATGTTGATGTTACCTGTGTGTTCATCACCTGTGCAACTGTTACCGGTCTGTCTCCCCTGTCCGGGGGTCTCTCTTGCCTGTCTCACCTATCCAGGTGTGTCCCCTGTCCGTCTCACCTATACGGATGCCTCACCTGTCTGTATGACCTGCCCGGGGTCTAAACTGTACGTCTCCCCTGTCTGTGTCAACTGTCCGGGTGTCTCACCTGTGCATGGTGTCCTCAGCCCGGCTCTGCCAGGTGTCAGACTGCAGGAAGTGACAGATGGAGTGAGCGTGGGTGAAGAACTCTGTGTAGGTGTTAAAGGCCACAGCGTCCATACCGGCGGTACACCTACTGACCTCTGACCCTGCAGGGCATGATGGGAAATCCCTGCCAGAGCTGACAGACATTTGAAAATAATTTACAATTATTGACTTATCTTCAGGAATACCTATATACATATATATATATATATATATATATATATATATATATATATATATCTATATATATATCTATATATATATTATATATATAGATATATATAAAAAAGACATTTCAAATCTCCTATCTGATAAGATAACATTTCTATTTTCCTAAATCATGAATCATCGTGATGTAATTTGACCAGTTTGTTGGGACCTGAACACTTGTTGGTTAATGAAATGAATAAATCAAATATGTGATTATTTTGACGCTCTCCCTGACTCCCAACATTACAGCACGTGTTGAGAGGATAGCAGGATATGCACAATGGATAATGTTGTTATGACTTTTTAAGGACGAAGAACTGTTAAGGGTTTAGGATAAGAAAAGGAGACACATAAACCCTAAGTGCCTATTAATCTTATAAGTACGACCAAATACTTTTTGATAAGATAAATCAGCCATATTATGAAGTACATACAAAAGAGATGCTTGGTACATGTAGCAAGGCGTAACCTACGTATTAGAAGAGGTATAAAGTCAGCCTTATTGACACACCTAGATGTGCAGGTGCTCTTGGTTTTATGTGCATGTCATCCAAAACTGTACAACACAAAATACATGTACGTTGTGTTGAGATACGTGTGTGTTGGCTGAGGGACTGAAGTGACAGCAGTTCTGCGAGCAGACGTGCAGGTGGACACTTGACGGTGATGTGGTGGGTTTTCCCTCCTCCGTGCTCATTGGGGGCTTTCCTGAATCTCCGGACTTTCTGGACAACTTGACCGCAGAACTGCAGGTAGTTGTTGGTTTGTGAGGCGGTTCATGCTTTTTGCTGGACGGTGATAGAGAAGCTGTTGATTAAAATCTCCGGACTTTGTCCATTTTTATCTTTTATCTCTGTGTTTTGTTTGACATTTTATCATCCGTTTTCCTCTGTAACTTGTTATAATCGGATTTCTGTTCTGAAGTAAATAAAACAGAGTTCGCTCTGAGCCTTTGAAGGTTTTTGAAAAGTTTCCTCCGGCGAGGGGGACGAGCAGCGGACTGCGGTGAGCCCCTGGAGGTGTCTTACACCTCATAAGACACGGGGGGGGACGGAGACGTCTTGAGGAGCTCCACTCCAGGCTGGGCAGGTCCTGTGTAGCTTGGAGAAGATGGTCTAAAAACAGTGGTCTAAAAATATCTTTGGTATTTCGGAGGCCGAGATAAAATCTAATTTATTGGGAGACTAAAATACGTCCGGGTGGTATTTGCTCCGTGGCACTGGTGATTAGTGACGATTGAAAATTCCTGAAGAGAGTTCTCCAAGTTGACTATAGGGGCTGACTTCTTAGCGGACTGACGACCCGCACGCCGCCCATCGCCCCCCTGGACCCCCCCCTCCTCTACTGGCAGTCCGGTGGAGCGACATCCGCCGGTGCTGTGTAGCGCGACCGGCATCCCGAGTTCATACACTTCTCAGGGTTTCCATGTCGCGAGAAGTGTTCTTCTGACGGTTTACACCTTAAGCTGCCCGTCCGAGTAAAACTAAAGAAGGGATCTAACGAAGAATAGCGTGAGATCGGGAACTCGCGTTACACATGACAACACCATCCTGTAGATACTCGCTCTACAACATCAGGAGAACACGTCCTCTTCTCACTCAGAAGGTACTGATTCAGGCTCTGGTCGTCTCCCTCCTGGACTACTGTAACTCCCTCCTGCAGGTCTCCTGCTACCACCATCCCACCTCTGCAGCTCATCCAGAATGCAGCAGCTCCACTGGTCTTTAACCTTCCTAAGTTCTCCCTCACTCCTCCACTCCTCCGCTCTCTTCACTGGTACCGGTGGCTCGTCCAGTTCAGAACACTGGTGCTCACGTACCAGGCTGTGAATGGATGGGGTCCAGCTTACATCCAGGACCTGGTCCGACCCGACATCCCGAACTCTGACCTCTCCGCTCTGCATGTGATAAACTGCTTGTTCCTCCTCACTGAGAGCAAAACACTCGACTAGATCTCCACTCTTTGCTGTCCTGCTCCTAAATGGTGGAAGGAGGTCTCTGAAGACATCAGGACCACAGAGAGCCTTCACATCTTCAGACTAAAGACACACCTCTTCAGACTCTACCTCCACTAACACACCAACTAACTGCAGCACTTACATTGGACTTATAATGGTTCTTATCTACAGCAAGTTGTACATCGGCTTATTTGATGAAATCACACTTTCTTGTTTCTTGTTCTTCTGAGTTTGTGTCCTTATGGTTGAAATGTTCTTATTGTGAGTCGCTTTGGATAAAAGCGTCAGATAAATTTACTTAAAATAAAACATGTAATAAAACATGAACCCTACAGGCCACCGTACATGTGTATAAGTATATACTTAAAGTGATCAAGTTATATTGTTTGATATTAGAGAAATATAATTAAAATACTAAAGCTGCTGCAGTAGAATATAAAGTAGCATGAAAACACAAATACATGGATAAAAACACTAATTAAGTGTAGCTGGTTAATGTGTACTTTATCTTACATATCAGCAGCTGTGGAAGAGAACCTACTCATGATTGCGCGTGACCCGCAAGCAGCTCTTTGACATTCATCACGTTTACCTGCTCAGGTGACAGAACGCGAAGCTCAGCGCCATCCGGCTCTGGATATCTGACGTCATATCCCTGCAGCGCGTGTCCAGGTGCTCCAGAGCTCGCGCCCAACACCCTCCGTATTCGGACTGGGCCGCGAGGTTTCGCACGCGCTGCAGCGCCGTCCTCCCGCGCTCCAAGTCCGGACCGGAACCGCAGGAGAGCGCGCACAGCAGCAGCATCGCACACACCTGAGCCGCCATCTTCACCTGAGTGACAGTCAGCCCGCTCAGCCAGTCAGAGACCACGTGGCTTTCTCCATGTCATTACGTCACTGCTTACGAGTCTTTCACTCTTTTCATTCAAGCCGTTTCTCAATACCAATTTCCTCCATTGGAACAGCGGCTGACTGGATGACGTCACCACATCAGCATGGTTTTGCTAACGGAATTGATACAGTTCTTCATTGTTCGTTTTCCTTAAAAATAAAAAATGGTGTATATATATATATGTATAACATGGAATAACATAATGTTGAAGAGGAGGATTACACTGACAGGTGTATATATTATATTTATCCACAGAAACATACCGAGGTGAACATTTAATGCAGGGCTGTTGTATTACATCACACTGCATTACTTTATGAAGGTTTTATAAAAGACAGAAGAGGTTTGATACAGGAACAACAATTCAACCATGTGGCTTCGGATGAGTCTTCTAGTGTGAGAATTAGAGAAAGACATAAATTGCATTTCTATAAAATTAGCTGCTATTCCTAATCATCCCACTGGTGGTCGCACTGTACGAGGAAGCGCGTATAGCTGCCACTTTGCAATTGACAATTTGCGCCCAGCCCCGTCGGCCGGGCCCTCGCCTATGATACAGGTCTGGCCCACTTGAGATCAAAGTTGGCAGAATGTGGCCCCTTACCTGATTTAAATGAATAGGGCTACATTCCACATGCATACCTACACTGTAAAAAAATAAAAGTAAAATATCTTATTTATTATTATTATTAATAATTGTTTATTATTTCAAGAATGTGCGAAAACCAAAAATTCACAGGAATTTTCACTTGAAACACTGTTATTTTACGCATTTTTCCTCTACAATTAGAATCCAACACCTTAAATAAAGGGATATCACTAAAAGCTTCCTGTATCATTGTGATACATAGCCGACGGCCACTTATTCAGACAAACTCAAGGTCCACAATCATATCCGGCCCGGCACAATTACATCACCTGTCTTTTGTAACTGGCCAGTTAATAGGACGCACACAACTGATACTAAGAGTCCCAGAAGGAACTCAACCAGGGTTTTGTTACGACTAAACGAGATGGAAGGTAATTGTAAATGAAATAAGTAAAACAATCAGAAAAGTAGTTAGTACGGACAGTATGATCACTCAAAAGGAAACAGGGCGGCGCTCAGAACCACCGGAAGTAACGCAGGGACAGGTGAGGATCTTGTTAGATAATGTTGCACTGGCGGCTGGATCCGTGTGCAAAGGTACAAACCACAGAGAGGCAGCCGGTAAGAGCAATGAACTCTCCAACAACGCAGAGTTTGTATTGAAGCGCTCGGTCAGTTTGGTTCTTAGTCACAAGGATCCGCCAACCGAGGAGAAAAGGTGATGTCATGATCTTCACAATAAAACTTCTTTGATGTGAGTCTCAGCCAATCAGCGTTGAGATCACCGCGTCTTCATTTCCCTCCAACTTTTCACCCTTTCACTCCAAAGTGAATTTACCGCCGCTACTGGATTATTATTATTATTATTATTAATATTGTCACTGTGTTTTGGTGCAATCTGTGATCTCTATCCGATCAGTTTGGTATTTGGGTCAGAGCGATCAATAGAGCGTCGTTGTTAAAGCTTGAGGGTTCATCACACGTGGATGTGGAGGCCAAACACGGTTTGTCTCCATGTGAAGTTTGTTTCATCAAACTGCAGCCAGCCTTCAGTGAACATCCCAGAATGATTTCATGCAAAAACCGTAAAAGTATGAAAAACTCAATTTGTATTTGTAGTTCAATATTCAACATTTATTGCAACACAAAAGAAAGTTGTAAATAAAAGTTTAACAGTCTTATTTGTGTCACCCTCACAGGAAATTCAGTATAATATATAATATTGGCCGCCACGATAAGAGCTGTCGAAATTCTCTAATGCTAAGGAAAGGAGCTTCAATGCTTCCTTACTTAACTCCTTTATAATAACCAACTTCCTTAAGTTAAGGAAAGGAGATAATTACGTCCAACAATTTCTTGCACAGGCAATATTTAAATTTCGCCGCTGCAGACTGACGTCACTAACAAAACTACGCAGCTTAGTGAAAGTGGAGTCAGATTCTCTGACTCCTCATGAATTCTCCTCACCATCTTTCTGTGAAGTTTTCCAGAGGTCAAGGACAAGTGGTTAGAAATAGACGTTATGAGGTCACTTTTTGGACTATTTGGGTGTGTCTCAATTCCCTCGGCTGCTTCCTTAAGGTCGCATTTGTCGACCGCATGCGTCTATGGCGGCAAATCACTGTCAAAATTCGAGAGCGCAAATCAAGTTGATGCTCGCGCGTAAATCACCGGCGAGCAAAAGTCTGTCTCAGAGAGAAAGACTTTGTGCTGTTATTTGTGTTTTGACAACGTTTTATCTCATAATTTCGACTTTCTATCCCCTTTCTTCAGTGTGGAAACGGGCTTCTATAGTTGTGTGAATGCATCACTCCAGCCAATCCAAAGACGGGGTTTGTAACCAATCAGATGTAGATACCATGGTGGCTGGCTCCGCCCCCTGACTATCAAAAAGAACAACAGCGAGCGCGTAGAAAACACCTGTAGAGATTGTTTTTGCAGAGATTCACGAGAAGTTCACGTTCCGTGAGCGAGCAAATATCTCGCGCGAGAAATTTGCTCATGCGACACGGACTTTTGCTCGCGGGTGTTTGTTTTACGCGCGTGCATCAAACTGATTTGCGCTCTTGAATTTTGACAGTGATTTGCCTCCATATGCGTCAGTTTGGCTGCGACTGGAGCCCCAAGCAGAACTCCATTCAGGGTCTCCAAAAAGGCCATTTACTCCGAGCTGCTGTTTACATCATACTGTCATTTAGCTGACGCTTTTATCCAAAGCGACACTAAGTGCATTCAACCATAAGGATACAAACTCTTGTTTGGTGGACGGCAGGAGGCTGAGGGCCATCAGAACTAAGACCTCCCGCCACACCAACAGTTTCTTCCCGTCGGCAGTCGGGCTCATCAACAGAGCCGGCCCCCCACTGACGGACTAACCCGAACCCACCAGTCACTTTCTTTCTCACTGCACACGTCACTTTCACTTGTCACTTTCTCTTCGCTGGTGCACTTCATTCATTTTCAAATATTTTCCACTTTTAGCTTTTATTCCTTTATTTTTAAACTAACCCATAGTATTATATTTTATTCCTCATGCACTGTTCTCTTGTCGTCCATTGTCGTACAGCCTGCTGTTACGCTCTAACCGCCAAGTCACATTCCCGTCTGACATATTATGGTAATAAATGTTTCCTGATTCCTGATTCCGGATACCTGGTGCATACGCACAGACAACGGTCAGAGTTTTCCCCCCCACAACCCAAAGTGTACCCCGGAGGCGACCCTCCATCTGGGCCTGGCTCCTTCCCTCTTCCGCTTTTTCATAGTCTTTTTGTTCTGTATAATAAATTAGTCAAATGTTAAATGTTTAAGTACAGTATAAGAGCTGTGAAGTGTCCCTCCCTGGCTACTGGTGGGCTGGGTCGGCCTTAGCCCCTCCTCCTCGCTGGTTCCCAATTAGTTTCCCCCACATTATAAGCCACACCTTGAGCTGCACGCGTTCGGTGACGTCCCTTTGTAACCTTGGTATTTATTGTAATACGTATTGTCATCTTTGGGTAATCCTTGGTCTCAATAAATCCTTCACTGCTACCCTATAATCTGTAGGCTTTTAGTGGTACAAGCCAGTATTATAGGTCAAGTACATAGTCAATTTTGAACCCATCCGGGCCTTGCCGCGGTCACATGTAGTACAGTATAAAGTACTACACGTAGAGTGCAGTCAAGGTTTTGACACCTTCTTCTTCAATGAATTTCCTTTATTTTTCTTTTGTTTCTACATTGTAGAATTATGTTGACGTCAAAACTATGAAGGAACACATATGAAATTATGTGGTAAATTAAAACAGAATTGGTTTCCTATGTTGGACCTTTTGCTTTGAACCTCTTGGGCTTCCTTCAACCAGCTCCTTGAGGGAGTCGCCTGGAAGGTTCTCCATTAACAGGTGTGCCTGGTAAAGAGAAATCACAACTTGCAAGTGTGTAAGGCTGTTATCAGACCAAGTAGTGGCTACCCGGAAGAATCTAAAATATAAAACATTCTGGTTTGTTGGGCATTTCTCATTCACCACAGAATTCCATGTCTTCTTCATAGTTTTGATGTGTTAAATATTACTCTTTAATGTAAAAAACCCCGACAGAACGAGGTGTGTCCAAACTTTTAACATGTACTGTACCTCTGAGACGAAGTACAGAACAAAGTACTACAGATGTAGTGGAGACAGGCAGCAGGTAGAAGTACCTTGACGTTGTACTATAATCATCACACAGACGTTTTCCTCGGACAACAAATCCTTTTAGTTAGAAATAAAAATAAGAGAACAGGTAAAAACTATTTGTGTATTTTGTTGATCCACTATGAAGAGTCACTGAACATCACAACTACAAACATGGAGGCTTCTGGCAAGACGCACGACAGCAGAGGCATTAGACCCATGAACATGCAAGATGGCCGCCAAGTCTGGTGGGGAGGGGGGGCGTTGGATTTATGCAGCTGCATGACAGACAGCATGCCGACGGGCGGTCGGGGCCTTCAAGGTGAGAGGCACGTTAATGGACATTCACTGATTGGATGGTTTGTGGAGCCTCTGGCCGGAGACTACGAATCCCAGGATGCAGTTTGGCCAATCGCAGGGCTGAAGGCGCCTTAGAAACGAGTGGGTTCCAAGAACCAACACAGGAAGAACTTTCCATCAAATCCTCAGAAACCTCATTCAATCCTAAAAGATGCATCCGAGCTGAAGCCCTGCCCCTTGTTGATGACCACCATGGGCCTTCAGAATAAAAAGTGAGGTGAATTACATGATTAATGTTTGTACATCTAAAAGACATTTCACACGTTTCAAACATCTTTGCAAAAGTGGTAAAATACATGATTATTAGGATGTTCTCTCAGTGTCACGTTCTCTCCTTGATTAGCTGTCTAGCTAGACTGCTGTGTATTTACAAACAGACTTTTAAATGTACAAACATTCAACAGAACTATTTAACTTTCAAAAGATGACATTGTAATTTCAAAAATGACTTCCATGACTATGGGAGGGGGCAGGACTTGACCTCCAAAACCTTTAAAGCCGCCCACTTTGTAGTGGTCAATCAGTGAGGAGGAATTGTTGGGAACTTCGCCTGCTGAACATAAAGCGCTCTGATCAGGAGGTCGTGTTCTCTGTCTGACGGTCTTGTTTAAGTGAGGTTCGGAGGCTGTAGAAACAGTTCGCCATTCAACATTGAAGTAAAACACAGGAGCAGATGTTGGGTGTAAGAGGAAGAACCTGTAAGTGGAAGAACAGCTGGATGAGTCTGAAGAACTAAAAGGTTAGTCCAGATGTTTTGTCTTCCAGATGTTTCTGACCCAAAAGCTGTGTCTCATTTCGACGGCTTCATCCCCGAGGCCGACGGTTTCTGAGGCTGCTCATCATTCATCGCAGCTGCCACTCGGCTGTTACGTTGTCTGCTCCTTAAACGCAGCCCTCCAGGGGGCGATGTGGAGGACACGTCTGATCAAGCCTATCCCACATCCCATCATGCATTGCGGGATGAATTTAAGTTCTAGAATGTAAGTACTAGAATTCACTTGAATATCTACCGATATAGATGTTATATTCTAATAAATAACATCATATCTTAGTTTATAAAATCGCTGAAGTTATGTGACGTAGATCCCATGTTGTGTTTTGAATACAACATGAGAACAAACTGCTCATTCTGCCCCCCCCTCATCTGAACTCCACTGGGTCCCTCCAGGTAGCTACACACATTTAGAACAAACAAGTTTTTCAGCTTTTAATGTCAAGCGCAGCAAGTTGCTAGGCAACAGGAGCGGCAGCAGAAAAGATTATGACACAAGCAGGACTGTCTCCTCAGAGACCGCTAGGTTCAGTCTATGCGGACGTCAGAGACCCAGCCCAGGTAGACCAGAAGTTCGGGTCCTCATGAGGATGCAGCCAACGAAATGAGACAGAGATTGCGGAGTAGGGCGAGTTCTTGTGGAAGAAGAGGGAACATTACAGCCCTCCATCTCTGATGATGGTAGGTTGGCAAGGAACCAATTTAAGGTGCAAACTACCACTGCACGTCACCAGTCAAGAGGAGGAGGTATCAGCGAAAGTCAACGAGTAACAATGCTGACTTCTACCGTAATAATCTGCCTGTGCGCCTCGCTCTCTGTCAGGAGCAGGTTGATGAGTAAAGGACCATCAGTTTAATAACTTCAGAGTTTAAAGCTGTATAACGGATACAAAGCAGTAAAGCTTTTAACAAAATCAAAATACTGAAAACAAAAACCAAACCGGGTTTATATTTGGGAAGCAAAGTGTTGTTAAGCATTTTAGGTCCAGACTCTCAGACTAGCGGGACACAACAGCTGCCTTTTGATTATATTTACACACACTTTTTAAACATGTTTTTTTCTTTTTTCCAGAAAAAGACAATTCCTGTCCTCTCCAGAACCCCAGAGTCTCCAGGAGCTGCTACAGTCCCCCAGCTCTGTGTGACGTTAATCCTTCTTTTTGAAACGGTCTGAAACCACTTAACTCCCTCCTGAGCGGCCCGATCAAGCTCCTCTCGTACCCGGCACTGAATCCGTCCGTCCCGACGGATCAGCTGACTTGTTCGCTGACGGCGGTCCGAGTCTCCACAGTCTCCTCCCGGCCGGGACAGGGGACCAGGTCTGGAAGGCCTTCTGTTACCCCGGCTGCTCCAGGAGGAACGGATGGTGCGGGGCCGGTAGGCCTCAAAGTGCTGTTGGACCCTCTATCTCCTCCTTCTCCGACAACCTCTCTGGTTTCCAAGGCTGTGTCCGACTCGCCTCGCCCCTCTTGCCCAAGGCCTTCCACGCTGTCCTCCCGGCTTCCTCGACCGGCCCGTGTGGTGCTTAGATCCTGGGGCTGTTCGCTCTGGTTCCGTTGAGCCGGGCTTAAGCTGGTCCTGCTCAGGTTGGGAGATGGTCGGTGAGGCCTGGTGAGCTGAGGGCGGGGCTGTGTTTGAATCTGATGGACGTGTTGTTGTGTCTGGGACTGGGGGGGCTGGTGGTAGGGAGACTGTCTGGGTTGTGGTCTGTATTGAGTCTGGGATTGGTGTTGCGATGACTGACTTGTCTGGGGGTGATGCTGAGTGGGAATTTGGGTCCTGGACTGGGACGGAGTTGAACTTTGGGCTGGGGTCCAGGACTGGGGTTGAGGTGGACTTTCGGCCAGGATTCTGGACTCGGACAGAGTTGGAGTTTGGGCTGGAGTTCTGGATTGGGATTGTACCGCAGTTCGTGCTGGGGTAGTGGGCTGGGATCTGAGCAGCAGTTGATTCTGGAGTTGGGCCGGTGTCCTGGACCGGGGTTGAGTTGGATTTTGGGCCGGTGTTCTGGGGTGGGGTTGGGCAGGGGTCTTGGACTGGGCCTGAAGTTGAGGCAGCGGTTGGAGTGCTGTTGGAAACTGGGTTTGTGAATGTGGATGCCTCTTTTGGGGTGGATAAACCTGCAGGATGGAAGGGGACTGGGAAGGGGGCGACTGGGGTGGTGAGTGCTGAGCTAAGAGCTGGGTGTGGTGCTGAGCAGGGGGGGTGATCGGCTGCGATAGGCCTCTCTGGGGGCAGGCCATAGTCTGACTTTGGATTTGGAATGGAGGGGGCTGGGACCTTGGCTGGGGAAGGACATGCCTGGTAGGAGAGGGATGGCTTCCTGGGTACCGAGGAGAGTCTTGGAGTTGACTGGCAGACTGGATCTTGGGATGCTGCTGAGAACAGGGTGGAGGTTGATGCCGTGGTTGAGGGCGGGAAGGCAGAGTGTCCGGCGAGGTCTGAGGGTGAGTGTGTGGCTTGGCTTTGGGCCTCGACTGGCCAGAGGGCGTCGGGTGTCCAGAAGCCGGAGGGGGGGTGGAAGGCTGGTCTAACGTGGGGGGGGAGGAATGTTGGTGGCGGTGGTGGTGGTGGTGGTGGTGGTGATGGTGTTTGTGAGGCAGCCGCTCCTTTCGTTTGTGGCTTTTGGATGGGGCGATGCTACTGCTGCTACTTATTCCTCCTACTTCATCTACAATGTCTTCCTCTACTTCCTCTCCTCTGCTTCCTCCTTCTCCTGTTTTCTCCTTGTGCTTCCTCCCTTTGTGCACCTTGAGTCTGTGCGACTGGCTTTCATCTGAAGCCAATTGTAATTGGCTTTGCTCAGAGGTGGTGGGCGGAGGTTCTGGGATCGGACCCCCCTCCTCTCTACCAGCCTCCCCCTCTCCGGCGACTCTCCTGTCAGTCTTTGTGTTGGTGGCCGGAGTCCCAGCGCTCTCCGCCTCCTCTACCGTCTCTCTTGTTTTACGCTTCTTGATCGGGAGGGCGGTTTCCTGGACGACCAGTTTGACCGGGGACTCCTTGGCCACTTGACGTTTGGCCTCCACGGCTAAAATGGTTGCTGCAGCATATCCCCCGGCTGTTGAGGTGGACGCAGTTGGGGTGGGGGACGCCGTGGCAGCCATCGATGACATCAAGACAGCGGTCGCTTTCCTGCCCCGTTTCTTGGGAGTGGTCGGCGGTGGAGGCGGAAAATCCTGCTGCGACTTCCTCTTCCTCCCGGGACGGACCTTGGGCGCGGGAGCAGGAGACACCACCTGAGAAGAAATCATAAAATTAGTGGATCTCCATTGGTACTGCATTTTAAAGAGAGATCACAGACAGAATGCACAAGCACCAACAGGTCTGAGGTCTTCTACAGGTTGACTGGACCTACTTCCACCTGAAGGTTGATGATAAGTCCTGTCTCTTTCCTAAATCCTCTCCTGGTTTGCTAGAACCTTACTTACTGGAAGTCCTTTCCTCTTCCGAAGTTCTCCAATAAACCCCTTGAGACATTTCTCTCTGCTCGTTCCGACTCTGAAAACAGAATCCTTAGACACACGTTCTCAGCTCACCTTACTACAAGTTAGGATGTACTGTATCTGTCTACCAAGTGTTTATCTCACTCTCACTTGAATAATTTCTGTCATAGGAACTGTATTATGTATTAGACATTGTTCATTCTGTACACATGGCATCCATTGTAGTCTGTCCATCCCATGAGTGGGATCCCTCCTCTGACGTTCTCCCTAAGGTTTCTTCCCTTTTTTCCCTCGTGGAAGGTTTTTTTTCATTTTTTCCTGTGCCGATGGAGGGTTTCGGGACAGAGGATCTCGTATGTGTACAGACTGTAAAGCTCTCCAAGGCAAATTTGTAATTTGCGATTTTGGGCTATACAAAATAAAATGAATTGAATTAATTGAATCTCTAAAAGTGATCACTTATTAAGTACTATACCAGGAACAACAGTCCAGTCAGCTACTTCCTGTTCCTGTTGCCCAGCTCTCGGTGAAAGGTAAATTCTTTAAAGGAGAAGCAAACCTCACACCCGAGAGCCGGTGATCCGGAAGTGAGGTGATTGCTTTAAGATGATCGTTTAAATGGTATTAGAACATATTGACATCAAAATGAGTATTACTAAAGTAAAATTGTTCTCTAGGAGTCAACAGAGAATGTTCCTGGATTGTCTTGGTTCTTCTTATTTTGGAGGTGTAACCCACGTCTGAGGAAGTAGAACCCACATGTGAGAAGGTCTAACCCACGTCTGAGGACGTAGAACCCACATGTGAGAAGGTCTAACCCACGTCTGAGGAAGTAGAACCCACATGTGAGAAGGTCTAACCCACGTCTGAGGAAGTAGAACCCACATGTGAGAAGGTCTAACCCGCGTCTGAGGAGGTTTAACGAATCCGAGGAATTTGCTGGTTAAAGGTGCATTGGGACTATTGTTGTGTTCTCTCTTGGCGGATTCATTGTACCTTTGAAGCTGCAGAGGCGGAGCCAGTGGAAGACTCTGCCTTGCCGAAGGGCATTTTGACCAGCAGTTTGCCCGGAGTTTTCTCCACCACGCGTTTCATGGCCACGCCTTCCGTAGCCTGCCGAATCTTCCCGCTGCCTAGGAAACGAGAGACGTGTGAGCTACACACAGTGAGTCCAACTAAATGACTTCAGGTTACGAGTTTTAGGTTTACCTTTGGGCCTCCCGCGGCCTCGCCCCGATGGTTTTGCCACATTCGCTTTCTTGGTGGGCCGCTTCTCACGGCGTGAAGGGCTTCCACGTCCTGTGACTGTGAAATCGAAGTCGTTGGGGTCGGTGGTCGTGTCGCAGACTTTCTGGAAGTAGGCGATGAGTTCAACCTTGGAACGAAACGCTTTTCCCTCCGAGCTATGGGAGGAGAAAAAAACGTTCACCTGACCCCCTAATCACCTGAACAGAGAACCGGCACCAAGAACAGAAGGTGGATTCGGCTTACTTGATGAGATAGACGTCAAACTTGCCCGCAGAGCGGCCAGACTTCCTCTGCTTGAGTTTGCGGGTCCAGCCCTCGGGCAGCGACGGGTCGTCGTACAGTGGCCCGCGGTCCCGTATGATGGAGCGCCGCTGCCTGGGGGAACCTGACGTAGACTCGCCGTCTTCTGCTAAGTCTGCCTCCGGCTCCGAGGGGCCCGCCACTGGCTCTGTGGCCTTCAAGGAGGAACTGGTTTGTTAGAGATAGAAACTCCAGGATCTTTGCCTGATCTCTGCCGTTACACTCGCCTGGGTCTCTAGCTCCATCCCTGCCTGCGGCACGGTGGCCATCTCCACCCCCCTATTGGCATGGCGGTGCTCCCGGCGGGCCTTACGGGTCTTTATGTGGGACCTGTCTCTCCCTCCAGAGGGAGGCAGGTCGACGGGTTCTTCCTCACCCTCCTCCCTGTGGAAGAAGTAATTACATCATACAAATATTACATTACTGATGACTAGGCCTGTCGTGATATGCGATAAAATGACATATCACACACACTCTCTGAAATCGCATGCAATCATTTTTAGTTTAATGAACGTCACCAACATTTAAGTTGATCGCGCACACAGACACAGAGCGACACCAACAGGTGAAGAGAAGCAGTGAACCCAACCAAGCTAACTAAGATAAACTCTCACCTAAAACAACAACCATCCGCCCGTCTTTAACCTGAACTACGGTCGGTTCCTCCGGACTGCTCGTCCTGCGTTCCTCCCGGGCCGGCTGGTTGTTAGCGGGACCGGGCCGCTCCATCGCTCCCTACAGCCGCGGAGCGCGTCGCCCTGCCGGCGGTCGAAGCCCCGGGTTAAACCTCCCCGGCTGCCGCGGCACACCTTTGCGCTGGACACATTTTCTGGAACCCGACTGAATCGCACCGAGCCCGATGCTTCGCCCGCTCCGTGTCCCTTGCGTTTATTATTATTTATTTATTTATATAGGATATATTTTTTCACATTCCGATTCTAATGTCTAACTATTCTGACAAATTAACCTTCTTTGTTGTTTGAAATCGCGTACTTTTATTACTATGCTATTACATTGTCATTGGTAATATCACATATCACAATAAATGTTGACAAACAAAAATGTGATTTTGTGACAGCCCTACTGATGACATCACAGGACTTGAGCTGTGCAGCGTTTTGTATGTATGTGTACGCCATCAGTCAACAACAAGAGAATACGTTTTACTTTTAATCAAACTTTAATCATTTATTGATTTCAAATCGAACTCAGACTCAAGCAACTCAATGAGTCAGGGAGATGAGCGCGTAACAAAAAAAGGAGGTAGAAGAAGGAGCAGTGGTCCAAGGTGCGGGAGCATTTCACAAATAAACTAAAAGTGTGTCAATTGCTAAATCAACATGGCATGGGAGCACCACGGTGATCGGCATCAAACAAAAGCATGTTGGCGTCCTTGATCACATTACAGGTCATTTAGCTGACACTTTTATCCAAAGTGACTTACATTACACTTTTAACCCGTGGCTTTTACATTTTAGCCCGGGGAGCAATTAGAGGTTAGGTATCTTGCTCTGGGACACTTGGACTTGGCACATGGGGCAGCCGGGACTCGAACCCCCAACCTTGCGCACCGTCTCTACCACTGCGCCACGACGACCCCCACTTGATGAGGTGGAAGTTACTACAGAATGAATCCTACTTCTGTTACGTTTATAACACAAAGAGCCTTACTTGTTATCCAGCTAGAAGAGCTAGCATTAGCCGGCTAATAACAGCAGTAAACCAGGGGTCTATAGCAAGACTAGAGACACATTTTATTCACTCACCGTAATTGTATTTTTCCCCTATTTGTTATAAATTATTATGTTATTTAGTTCAAGGTACAACCTGTCAAAAAAATTATTGACTATCAAAATAATAGTTAGTTGCAACCCTAGAAACAACCACAGGCCATGACACCTTCAGTGGAGGAGACAACCATGAGACCTTCTTCTTCAGAGGCGACCATCCCAAGCCACGAGACTTTCAGTGGTGGGGACAACCATGTGCCGTGAACTATTTAGAGGAGGAGACAACAAAGACCCACGAGACCTTCTTAAGAAGAGACAGTCATGAGACCTTCGGAGGAGACAACCAGGAGTGATGAGACCTTCAGAGGAGGAGACAACCTCGAGCCATGAGACCTTCAGAGGATGAGATAACCATGAGCCAATTAGAGGAGGAGACAGCAAGCCATGAGACATTTAGAAGAGACAACCACAAGCAATAAGACACAGAAGCTGTGTCTCAATTCCTTTGGCTGCATTCTTTAGGACGCATTCGTTGACCGCATACGTCACCCCTGCTGCGACTCGCCCGTTCCATCGACTCCTCCGAACGTGGTCGAGCAAAGTGTGTGTGTGTGAATGGTTGTGTGTCTCTGTGTAGCCCTGTGATTGGCTGGCGACCAGTCCAGGATGAACCCCGTCTATCACCTGAAGTTGGCTGGGACAGACTCCTGCCCCCCTGTGTGCAGGATAAGCTGTGTGAAGATGGATTGGAAAAAAAAATCGAATCGGCTCGAACCGCACTGTAAAATATCACAGCCCTGTTTAGTTATGTCCACTTACAGTACTTCTTCTCTAACTCAAAGAGCTCTGACACATTACATTACATTACATTACATTACATGTCATTTAGCTGACGCTTTTATCCAAAGCGACGTACAATAAGTGCATTCAACCATAGGGTACAAACTCAGGAGAACAAGAAACAAGAAAGTGCAATTTCCTCAAATAAGCGAATTTACAATTTGCTATAGATGAGTGACGTCACAAGTACAATTTAAGTGCTACAATTTGTTAGTCTTTAGTCGAGGTAGAGTCTGAAGAGGTGTGTCTTTAGTTTGCGGCGGAAGATGTGAAGGCTCTCTGCGGTCCTGATGTCTTCAGAGAGCGCGTTCCACCATTTCGGCGCAAGGACAGCGAAGAGTCGAGACCTAGTCGAGTGTCGACCTAGTCGAGTGTTTTGCTCTCAGTGAGGGAGGGACGAGTAGTTTTGCAGATGCACGTTTTGACACGTTTTAGATTTGAACTTAACGGTTCAAGTTAAAAGCTTTATGTTGACTTATTCTATTATTATTAAAAGCACACATGGAGTCACAAAATGTCGTTATCTCAATAAAAATTCAGCATGGACCATTTTGTTACATTTCTGTTGGGGCAATGAGGCCCGACATCCCTTTGTAAGTCAGTAAGGTTACAGAATAAATACACCAAGAAACTGAACTTGCTTTGCTCATTTTGATTTGTTGTGCGATTAGAAATCACAACATTTAGTTGTGTTTTATGGAGCAGGAGGAAGCAGCATCAAGGTGAAGGAGAACGATGTGTGTGGTGACATTCAGCTACTGTAGCTTGGACATATTCTGTAATATCTTCTGTAAATTAGTTAAAATATATCATATCCTATGCAAGAAAAAAATAAAAATACCTTGCATACAAGTTAATAAATGTGTTTGCTGTTGTGGTTTTTATTGACAACATTGATGGAATCACCTCTGCCTTAAGATTGCAATATTACTTTTAGCTGAAGGTAATTATAAATTGGTACGGTATTATAAATTAACATTTAATTTAATTTAAAATAACTGTTCTCTCAGCCTGAAATATATTATGCTCGGTTGGAGAAGCATATCTTCGTTTATCGTCTTTATCTGTACTATAAGCTTCAAGGCTTTTACAAGTGCAGCAGGTACAGTTGCAATCAAAATTATTCAAGACCCCATTGCACATTAGATTTGCACAAAATATACAATTTCTCAGCTGTTTGCAATAAACAAATTACACAATAATTGTTTAAGTAGTTTAATGAAACTAATATTACAAAGGTTTTATCCAAATTTAACACAAAATGCTACTTTTAATGCACACCTGAACTAATGAAGCCTTTGATTAGTTGCACCAGGTGTGCTTGAATCATTTCAAAGGTGCTCTACTAAGTACTGAACATGCTCGTCATGAAGGGGTTGAATCATTTTGAGACTGCAGTAAATTCATTAAAGTCATTAAAAGTAGCATTTTGTGTAAGCCAGTAGACCTACTTCAGAGGAGACAACCACAAGCCGTGAGACCTTCACTGGAGTAGCGGCCAAGGACGATGAGACCTTCAGAGAAGGAGGAGAGAACCACGAGCCATGAAACCTTCCGAGAAGACAACCAGGAGGGACGAGACAACCTCGAGCCATGAGACCTTAATCAAAGGAGGAAACAACCACGAGCAATACCTTCAGAGGAGGAGGCAACAACCACAAGCCATGAGACCTTCGTAGACAAAATAACCACAACCACGAGACCTTCTTTAAAGGAGACAACCACAAGCCATGAAACTATCAGATGAGGAGATCACCAGGAACCATAAGACCTTCGGAGGAGGAGACAACCATACGCTCTCAGATCTACTTAGTAACACATTTAATTAAAATATACACATGTGTGTCTGTGCGTGTAAAACTGACTGGGGGGGTTCTGTTAGTATGTGTACATATGTATGCGTGTCTACGTGTGTCTGTAGAAAGGGTGGGGGTTAACCCAGGTCAGTGAGCACCAGTACTCCAAACACTCGGATGACAACATTCTGTGATGCTAACGGTAGCAGGTAGCCTGTTAGCTCGCAGCTCGTTCACCGGAGACAGGAAGATGCGCCACTGTGTAAGCGGACACCTCGCAGCCGACGCGCGGCCTCTTTTCCCCGGGCAGTAGTGCGAAGGTCCGGGGGGCCCGGAGGAGCACGGGCGGTGGGCTGGAAGCTAACGCAACCGCAGCAGCTAAAGTACAGACTTAGCAGTAAGTTGGTGACGTATTCCAGCTAAACCCGCTCTGCTAAGACGGCCCGGGGAAGAAACCAACCCACTTTTACTTCAATAAAACAAACGACACAAAATAGTCGTGGGCGACGGCGGAGCTTTATCGTAGGATAAAATGTGAAAGAAAACACTCACAGTCTCTCCTCTCCGCTCTCCATGGCAGCCATTTTTATTTAAATGAATATTTTTTTATTAAAAAAAGCCTCCAAACATCTCGGCTCCCTCCTGCTGCACCCCGCCCCCCAGACTCCATTTCCAACCGCCGTTAGGATTTTAAATATCGCGAGATCTGCGCAAAGATGAGGTTCCATACCCAACGGTACGAGCGCAAGGAGGGTCGTACTCCCGCGAGATGTGAGCTCCTCGGTCATGTTGAGGCGTTTAGGAACACGCTGTGAAGTTTGTAAAAAACATGTGTTGAACTGAGATGAAATTCAAGTCGTTAATACTTCAAGAGAAAAAAAACGGAATGAAAATTGAGGAGTTAATAAAAAACAAATGAAAAAATGAACTAATCAACTAAAATATTTAAATGATTTAAATCGAGTAAATCATTTTAAAAAGTGATAATAGTGATAAAAAGAATAATTAGATATTGTATCAATGTTTGCCTGAACGTCTTTGGTGCTTTTATTTTGTATAAAGTAGCAGATGATTTTTTAATTTTGTAATTGTCGTAACTAAACTCTGTTTAAAAGTACAACTCAAAGACGAAAAAGAAAAAGAAGAAGAAGAAGAAGAAGAGAAAAGATCGGCAGGAAGTTTAGATTAACGTCAGCTAAATTACATGTAATGTCATTTAAACAGGAAAATGTTCCTGTTTCAGTGTCAAGGGTTTCACAATAAAACCCCAATTGAACAAACATGAGTTTACTACTTCAGACTTCCTTGTAGAAACAGAAAGTTCAAATAGAGTTCAAGCTCTTTAAACAATTGAATGAGTTCAGTGATCAATGAACTCATTCTAATGTTAGGAATTCATTCAATTATTTACGCATGGCCGTAAATCAACGGTATTTTACTGGCAGCAAGGACGCCAGGAATTTACCGTTATTTTACGGTATAATACCGTAAATGGTTTTTACACTATGTTACCGCAAAATGGATTACTGTATGTTACTGTAAACTTGAACGAATTTTACTGTGAATTAACTGCAATTTACTGGCAGTCGACGCTAGTAACTTACTGTTTTATTTACAGTGCCCTACCGTAATTTACGGTATGTTGTTGTATATTGGATTACAGTTTGTTACCATACGATTACTGTTTTTGTGTTATAAATACCAGAGTTTTACCGTTTACTTATAACCCCATATTCCCCACAAATTAAAGAAAGACAAACAAAATCATTTCAGTCATAGTGGTTGGAGTTTATTAGATGCCTTTAAGACAAAAATGTTAGATATTTGTAACCAAGAACAAAACATAAAATATTCCGCAGGTATACAATAATAAAAAAATGAATCATAAAATCATTAGGAACAAGGTAAACTAACTGCAACGATACGCTATGGAACACTTTCAATTGACCGCAGCAAACGGCTGGCGTCCTTAATCCAGTGCCTCTGTAAAACAAACCAAAATAAAATATTTAGAAACGCTCATTGGTAAAATATTAAAATTACAAAGTTGAGGAAGACAACAAGATGTAAGGAAAGAGAATGTTAATCATGCTAGGCAAATAACACTTACCAACGTTACTTGGAGAGACAAGGCAATGAGAAACTCCTCTGATGTTGAACTGCACAGGTGTTCTAGATGAACTGAGATTACGCGTTTGACGTCACGTTCAGGAGCAGTCGGTCAGATTAACACTCAAATGACTTGGCAATGAACACTTTGAATAATACAAATATTTATAATCTTTACATTCCAGCCACTGAATTGGCGGCAAAGGCTATGAGATAATGAGGGTGTGCTGTGCAGCACAAGGTTGGCGGTTTGAATCCTGGCTGCTCCCTGTGCCAAGTTGAAGTGTCACTGAGCGAGACACCTAACCCCCAATTCCTCCACATAAAATGATGTCAAACCATGGGCGTTTTGGATAAAAGTGAAAGCTGCAAGTATAGTAATGTCCTGTAAGTCAAAGTCATCATCGTATCTCATGAGATACTATCTCATTATGATGACTTGACAGAATGATGATGACAGAACCTGTTTTTCAGTGGCTGACGTGGGCTTCCATACATTAACTTACAACAGATGTGATTCACTGCACTTGTATGTGTATTTCCACCACTTTATAAAATATATGTAACATGCAGTTGAATTACGGTAGTCTGCTATTATGTTCAGGAAAAAGGAAACATTTATTGCCAAAATATGTCCAACATGGTTGATGCGCGACAGTAGACAGTGTAACAATAGACAACAAGAAAGCAGTGCACAAGTAAGTTAGTAAAGTTAAAGTTAAAAATTTCCGGAACTGGAATTTGCCGGAACCGGCGGGGTCGGGGCCTGGAGTCGTGGGGCCGGAACCGGGATCGGGGCCTGGAGTCGTGGAGCCAGGACTGGCGGGGTCGGGGCCGGGGCCAGGAGTCGTGGAGCCGGGACTGGCGGGGTCGGGGCTGGGGCCTGGAGTTGTGGAGCTGGGGTCGGGGCCTGGAGTCCTGGGGCCGGAACCGGGGTCGGGTCAGGAGGTCGCTGTGACCCAGCGCGGGACGTGGTGTGCTGTGGCCGAGCGTGGAGGCCGTAGGAAGCCTTGCGTTGGACCTCGAGGTCCATCAACCGCTCCCAGTACGATTCCCCGCCGGAAGACGAGGAGATCGGAGGATGGCACAAACGACACTGGTGCAGGTGATTGGAAACAGCTGGAAACAATCATGACACGACAGACAATCACAGGGCATGACAGGACAAGGCAGGAAGTGACGTGACCCAGGGAGAACAGAGGAAAGAAACTACGAAATAAACCCAGATATGAACCCAAACCATGACAAACAACCTCTGCTGAGCCTTCTTGGTGATGGAGCTGATGTTCAGCTCCCACTTGAGGTCCTGGGTGATGATGGAGCCCAGGAAACGGAAGGAATCCACAATAGTGACGGGGGAGTCACACAGGGTGATGGGGGAGGGTGGGGCTCTATTCCTCCGGAAATCCACAATCATCTCCACTGTCTTTAGAGCGTTGAGCTCCAGGTTGTTCTGACTGCACCAGGACACCAGATGGTCAGACTCCCACCTGTAGGCGGACTCATCCCCACCAGAGATCAGTCCAATCCTCATTGGACCGTGACTTCCATTTATCCTCATTGGACCTCATCCGCAAACTTCAGGAGCTTGACGAACTGGTGACTGGAGGTGCAGCTGTTAGTGTACAGGGAGAAGAGCAGAGGGGAGAGAACGCAGCCTCGGGGGGAACCGGTGCTGATGGTCCGAGAGGCTGAGACATGTTTCCCCAGCTTTACATGCTGCTTCCTGTCAGACAGGGAGTCTGTGATCCACTTGCAGGTGGAGTCGGGCACGTGTAGCTGGGAGAGTTTGTCCTGCAGCAGAGACGGGATGATAGTGTTGAAGGCAGAGCTGAAGTCCACAAACAGAGTCCTGGCGTAGGTTCCTGGGGAGTCCAGATGCTGGAGGATGTAGTGGAGGGCCATGTTGACAGCATCGTCCACAGCCCTCTTGGCTCTGTAGGCAAACTGCAGGGGGTCCAGGAGGGGGTCGTTGAGGGACTTCAGGTGGGACAGGACCAGCCGTTCAAAAGACTCCATGACTACAAAGGTCAGGGCGACGGGCCTGTAGTCATTGAGTCCTGTGATCCTGGGCTTCTTGGGAACAGGGATGATGGTGGAGGCCTTGAAGCAGGCTGGTACGTGGCATGTCTCCAGGGAGGTGTTGAAGATGTCAGTGAACACCGGAGACAGCTGGTCAGCACAATGCTTCAGGGAGTGAGGGGAGACGGAGTCCGGGCCGGCTGCCTTACGGGGATTTTGTCTTTTAAAGAGCTGGTTAACGTCTCTCTCCAGAATAGAGAGGGTCGTTGCTGGTGGGGGAGGGGAAGGTGATATAGATGAAGAGGCGTGAGCCCCTGATGGGCTGGGGGAGGGAGGGGAGGGGGACTGGGGCAGGTTGGTGGAGCTGTGGGGGATGGGATCAGGACATTGTCTCATCGATATTCTGAGAGAGACTCATATCAGTCGTCTCTCCGCATAGGCGGAGGTCATTCATGGAGTGGGTTTTTTTTGGCTTGTAGTTACTGAGGTGTTTGAGGCCTCTCCAAACTGAAGCAGAGTCACTTGCTGAGAACTGTTGTTGGAGTTTCTCAGAGTACAGTCGTTTAGCGTCTCTCACCGCCTTGCTAAACTTGTATTTTGACGGTGTGTACAAGTCTTTGTCCCCACTCCTAAATGCCTGATCCTTCTGCAGGCGTAGTGTTCTGAGTTCCGCTGTGAACCAGGGTTTGTCGTTATTGTAACTCACCCTGGTGCATGATGGTACACAGCTGTCCTCACAGAAGCTGATGTAGGAAGTTACAGCCTCTGTGAACTCATCCTGTCAGTAGCAGTCCTGAAAACATCCCAGTCTGTGCAGTCAAAGCACGCCCGAAGATCCTCCAGCGCCTCACTGGTCCACTTCTTGAATTCCCTCACCACAGGTTTGCAGAGCTTTAGTTTCTGCCTGTATGCAGGAATCAGATGGACCATGACGTGGTCAGAGTGTCCCAGTGCAGCACGAGGGACGGCGTGATAAGCCCTGCTGACTGTGGTGTAACAGTGATCCAGCGTGTTCTCCTCTCTGGTGGGGCATTTAATAAACTGTCTGTATTTAGGAAGTTTGTGTGTGAGATTTCCTTTCTTAAGGTCCCTGAGGACAATAACTAAAGAGTCCGGGTTGGTCCGCTCCACACGCCGTATCTGGTCGGCGAGTGTCCGCTGTGCCTCGTGCACGTTGCCCGGCGGCGGCATGTAAACACCGACCAGGATGAATGAAGCGAACTCACGGGGGGAATAAAAGGGTTTGCAGTTGATGAAGAACGTTTCCAGATCAGGAGAACAGTGTTTTAGGATCGCCGTTACGTTGTTGCACCAGCTGTTGTTGAAGTAGAAGCAGATTCCTCCACCCTTTGTCTCCAGCTGGAGCGCGGAGTCCGGTATCGATCCGCAGAGCCACGTCTCCGTGAAGCACAAAACGGAGGATGTAGAAAAGTCTCTGTCTCTCCTCACCAGCAGCTGAATTTCGTCCAGTTTGTTGCACAGTGAGCGCACGTTGGAGAGAAAGATGCCTGGCAGCGGAGTGCGAGAACCACGCCTGCGGAGTCTCACCAGCGAGCCGGCCCGTTTTCCTCTCCTACGGCGTCTCACCGCGAAAGGTGAGCGCACCTTTGACTAGAATGTCCAGTAATTCCACGGAAGATAGCAGGAAAGTTGAAAGTAACTTCGCTGGAGTTGTTCCTCGGATGTTCAAGAGCTCATCTCTGGTGAAAGAGCTCCGGGAATCGCAGCAGGAAACATAATTAACAACAAAACCCACAAAAAACGAAGCGCACCGAAGCACCGTGGCAGCCATCATCGGCGCCATCTTGTTAAGGTGTGTGTTGACAGCTTTAACTGTTTATTCATGACATTGGCCGTTAATTTACAAGTAAGTAAGTGCTGTGTTCGATCCCAGGCTCAGCTAACCCGCATGTCGATGTGTCCTTGAGCAAGACACTTAACCCAACATTGCTCCTGTAGCTGCGACTACAGTGTGTGAATGTTAGTTACTGAGGTGTCACTGTTTGTGGTTCTCCTGTCATCAGTGTGTGAATGGGTGAATGATGTCACGTAGTGTTGTAGTGTAGACTAGAAAAGCGCTATACAAGTACAGTCCATTTACCATTACCATAAAGTACTCTGTCCTTTACCTATACTTATACCACATAAAGTATTATGTTTTTTACCTTCAAGATGTATACTTATACTACATGAAGTACTATTTTTACTTATTATTTTTTACGTATACTTATAACACATAAAGTTCTATATGTATACTTGTATAATATGAATCAATCTTCTTTTTCATATATTTATGCCACATAACTATATACTATGTTCTTTACGTAAACCTATTCCACATAAAGTACTTGGTTCTTTACCAATATGTTCTGTTGATCAACTCTGATCAACTCTCTGATGTCCAGGATGTACAACAAACGCCGGGGCTGATGGGACATGGGTGTTACACAAGTTGACGTTTTTAGAAGCTACAAACTTTAAGAGTGTTTTTGTGGATCCAAACAGACACTTTATTTCGCACACAGTCATCTTTTTCAGAGTCTGAAGAGGATGTTAATTATAATTATTATTATTAAGCCCTTAACGTCTGAGATACTGTCCGAGGAAGAAAGAAGAAGACACAAAGACAGACACATCAACAAAAAAATGGTTGTTTATGAGAATAAAAACACATCAATCAAAATCACACTGAAATCACGATTGACTGTGGACCTTTCTTAATTTAACAAAAAAAAAGTGATACATGAAACATTAAAACAAACAGAATATACAGCAGTGATGACGCCATCTGTTAGCTTTAGCTGTAGCTAAGCTAGCTTCACTGATTTATGGCGCGTTTCCACCGAGCGGTACGGTGCGGTACGGGTCGTGTTGGTACCGTTTTATTTGTGTCTCCACTGCCAAAAGTTGGGAATGGTACCAAAAATCCGTACCGTACTTTTTGGGTACTCTTCCGTTGGGGTACCTGGCACAGTTTTTTGGTACTAAAGGGTGGAGCTAGACTCACTGCTGAACGTTGATTGGTTGAAAGAGTGTCGTCATTTGGAATTTGCTCGCCAAATCATGGTTAACAGACCCAACCCGTACCGTACCGTACCGCTCGGTGGAAACACGCCATTAGCCTCCATGGTTTGTCACTAATAAAAGTTTGGCTGTCCTACAGTAACTGTTAAGCTGTGCAGCATAGCTACAGTCACCACGGTGAATGCGTCCTTCCGGCTGGTGGACATTTTCCTCTGTTCTCCACCAATGTCGGAATTTTGTTAAACCCTGCCCTCCTGTCGAGCCCGTCACCGTATCGGTCAGACTATGCCCCCTCTCAAGTCTCGTCTCTGATTGGTTGGGAGCGTCAGAACGACGTCACGCAGGTCATTTCATCGGCCAGCTCATCCTCGTCATGGCCCGTCCTGATTGGCTCCTCGTCGCTGTAGAGTGCCGCAGGGTCGGCGAGCAGAGCCGGGCTGCCCAGCAGGTCACTGGCCGCCGACTCCATTTCGTCCACCGTCATGTGACACGCATCGGCAATCTCACGCTTGGCGAATGCCACGAACTTCGGATCCCGGGCGTAGAGGCCAAGCCCCTCAGATATGAGAACCTGCGGAGTACAGCACGAGGGAGTCAGTGATCACAATTGATCTGTTGGTTATGGATCTAGGCAAGTTTGGCAAGACAGCCTTAAAACATATAAGAAGGCTCTCCGTAAGAGCATCTTATTACTCATTAATAGAGAAAAAAAAACAACTCCAGGTTTCTCTTCAGCACTGTAGCCCGACTGACAGAGAGTCACACCTCTGTCGAGCCGTGTATTCCTTTGGACCTCACTAGTAACGACTTCATGAACTTCTTCAATGATAAGATTCTGACTATCAAAGAGAATATTGATGGTCTCCTGCCTTCAGCCAGTGCCGACCTGTCCTCCGTTGTAGGAACCTTGGATGCAGCAGTGGGCCCTGATGCCTGTTTGGATGGCTTCTCCTCCATCAACCTTGATCAACTGACTTCTATAATCTTCTACTTGTCTCTTGGATCTGAATCCGACCAAGCTGCTTCAGGAAGTTTTTCCTTTAGTTAGCACATCCTTATTAGCTATTATGAATCTGTCTTTGTTGACAGCACATGTACCACAGTCCTTCAAGGTAGCTGTAATTAAACCTCTTCTTAAGAAACCTACTCTTGCTCCAGAGGTGTTGGCTAACTACAGACCTCTCTCTAATCTTCCCTTCCTCTCTAAGATCCTTGAGAAATCCATCGCAAATCAATTATGTGACTTTCTACAAAACAATGCTTTGTTCGAGGATTTCCAGTCAGGATTTCGAGTGCGTCACAGCACAGAAACAGCACTGGTGAAAATTACGAAGGATCTTCTACTTGCATCGGACAAAAGACTGATCTCTTTTCTTGTCTTGCTGGACCTCAGTGCTGCATTTGATACCATAGACCATTGTATCCTGTTGCAGAGGGGAGGCTCCTTAAGGTTTTTTCTCTTTTTTCCCCTTGTAAGGGTTTTTTCATTTTTTGGGGAGTTTTTCCTGTGCTGATGTGTGGGTTTCGGGACAGAGGATGTTGTATGTGTACAGACTGTAAAGACCTCTGATGCAAATTTGTAATTTGTGATTTTGGGCTATACAAAATAAAATGAATTGAATTGAATACTAATATAACCATACTAACATAGTACCATATTAATATACTAATATACTACCGTAGTACTGGTAGCTATTGATCCGGTAGCTATTGATCTGGTAGCTAATAATTTGCCCTCCTTACCGCCTCCACCAGGCTGTCCGCCGATCCTCGCTTTTCTGTCAGCTGAGCACCGAGCTGGGAGGGAACTCTGAGGGTGGTGTAGGCTTTGTAGGGGGGTGGAGCTAAAAGGAAGGTCACATGACACAGTCCCGTACATAACGATGACATCAGAGGCTATTAGATCACAAAGTAACTAATGCAAGCACAGTATATATTCACCAAGTAACTGCTGCATACTAAACATACAACATTTTACATACTCATTATATAAGTATTGCATACTAACGTATAATGAATTCTTCCTACCTGATGTCCCTGCAGGGCCTCCGTACCAGGCTGGTGCTGCACCTGTCACATTGACACCTGATGGATAAAGAGTTTAGAGCTCATCGTACCTTTAGGTCAGTATCTCGATTATTTCTGTACTTTGTAAGCTCCTCATGGACTCTGTTGGTAGCTAAGAGCTTACTATTAGCATGGAGCCTACTGTTAGCATGCAGCCTATGGTTAGCATGGAGCCTATTGTTATCATAGAGCCTATGTTAGCATAGAGGCTGTTATTAGCATAGGGGCTATGTTAGCAAATAACATTTTGTTAGCATAGGTCCTACTATAGCGATGAGGCTTCTGGGACATAAAACAGCTCAGTCTCCTCACCTCTTTCTGCACCTCCCGTCTTCCCCTCTTGTCCTCCTCGTCCTCCTCCGCCCCATGGTGGGCTGCCCTCCTCTTCCACCAGAATGAGAGGAGCGTATAGGAGACGACCGCGGCGAGGACACGGGTTTGCCCAGGAGGCCGAGGAAGCTGCAGAGGAGCGACCGGATGAGTGACGAGACTCATAACTGCTGAATGTCTGCTGAGGAAGAGGAGGCGAGGAGGAGATAAGTAGGGGGGAATGGGGAAGGGAGGAGAGGAAGAGGACACAAGGAGAGGATGGTTACCTGTGTGTACATGTTTTTTCTGTGTGTGTTTTACCTGTGTGTGTTTTACCTGTGTGTGCATTTTCTGTCCGTGTGTGTGTTACCTGTGTTCGTGTGCGGCGGGGGGGGGAGGTGGGGTGGTATGTCCCGGGGATCGGGAGGTCGTCACTGCTGCCTTGTCTCCTCAGGCACTGGATGTTGAATGATGGCTTCCGACCTGACAGACGGCAACGAAACAAACGCATCCGCTCAGCTATAAAATGATACTTACACAATAATTTAGGACATAAAATACGTTACATCTAATTGTATCTTATTTTGTAGAACGACAAGATAACGCGAGATGAGAAAATTATGAAATGATCTGAAACTCTAATCTCTTCTAATCTGTGACATAACAGCATGACATCATCGGGTAAAACATTACATTACAACCTGTGGGCGTGGCAGGAAGTAGGCGTCTCCGGGTTGTCCTCATGGCCTCGCTGTAACCGTTACCATAGTTACCATCAGAGAAGGGTGCGTGGCCATCATAGTGGTCTCTGTACTGAGGAGGTTCGTCAGGGCAATGTCTGCAAGGACACACACACATATAAATACACACATACACACAAACAGACACACACACAAACATGTACACACACACAGACACACATAGACATGCATCTATCTGTGTCCGTAGCTGTCTGTGTGCCTACCTGTCTCTGGAGCTGATGCTGTCGTTGTCCTCCTCCCTGCTGTAGTAGCCCTGCTCTCCGTACGTCTCCACGTCTCCGTTCCTCCAGGATCGGTCCCTGGAGTCCCTCCTGCTGAATAAAACGATGTGATTGGTCAAGACCAAAGAGGAAGTCAACCAAGCTGCAGTTCATCATATGGTTGAGAGGCTCCAGGGTGGTAGTCCTACCAATATTACCTGGAGTGTATGTGGCACTCCGGTTACTAGTACTATCCTAAGTACCTGAAAGTTTTGTGGTACCTTGCGTAAAAGTACCTTTAATGATAGTACTTTAAACCCATGGATTCTTTTACATTTTTGCCCTGGGAGCAATTCGGGGTTAGGTGTCTTGCTCAGGGACACTTCGACATGGAACATGGGGCAGCCTGGACTCGAACCACCAACCTTGTGCTTCCCAGTACACCTTCTGTAACCCCTGCGCCACAACGACTCCATTCTCTACTAGTACCTGTAGTGTCTCTTCTTCTCTCCGTTCCTTCGCCTCTGATGATGAAGGTTGACAAAACACCTGTCTGCGTCTCCACGGCGACGGCGTTGGTCATGCTCGCCACAGTTCGGTGTCTTAATGACGGAGCCGACCCGGTGGATCAGACCGCCGTTAGAGACCCCACCCTCTACCGCCAGACCACAGGGACCTTCATGGGAAAGGGTAATGTCAGAGAACCGCCGCTGCCCTAGTCAGGTCAACCAGTACTATGAGAGTCAAGTGAATATATTTTAATGTAGTTTTTTAACCTTATTGTTTTTATAATACAGTTACCGGTGACAATAGAAATAGTAAGTAAATAGCTGCCTTTCAGCACCAAATAGTTGTAGCCACAATATGTTGTGTATCGCATTTCACAACAAGAAAGTAGTCACCGTATGTGAGGCTGTTGCAATGCAACATGTAACATGTTTGCTAACAGTCAAGCCTAGAAAGACCACTAACGTAATGGTTGCGCAAAATCTAACTGCTATTTTGAGTGTGCTTTAATATGGAATGCTTAAGTCAACGTAAACAGGTACTGTACATTATGGCTCAATAAAATACGCCTTGTGGATTTTATCTACCCGTATTATAAAATACTTTTAACTTTCAGTTGAGTAACTACATTCTGATGAATTCATAATTACATTACATAACATTACATTATTCTATTTTCCTTTCCAGATATGAATGTGTTATAATGTTATATAAAGTATTGATGATGAATACTATCCAATGTAACATGGCGTTGTTTGTCGTAACCATGGTAATGTGTTGTCACATGACTACCAGTGGGCGTGGCCAATGCAGAACCTCTGCGTTCTCGCTCCAGTCCGACGCTGTCACCCTGCAGAGACAAATCAGCTGTTTAGGGACAGACACACAGAAAGAGAGCGAAACAAAAAGAGAAGGACAGAATGAGAGACAGACTTGGTACATCTCCTCCTGTAGCTCCTCGTCCTCAATCGCAACCTCGTCATCGTCCTCCAGGTCCTCGTTCAGAGCCAAACGCATCTCTGGACCCAGATCCTGAAGAGTCTTTAGTCCGGCTTTACACAGCTGCAATACACACACACACAAACATAGACAAAGACACACACACACACACACGCATTACACACACATTACATTACATGTCATTTAGCTGACGCTTCTAACCTATCCAAAGCGACTTACAATAAATACATTAAACGATAAGGAAACAAACTCAGAAGAACAAGAAACAACAAAGTGCAATTTCATCAAATAAGCCGATTTACAACGTGCTATAGATACGTGCAATCATGCACAAGCACACGCACACACACACACACACACAAACATACACACACACGCGAACACGCACAAACCCCCACACACATATGTTTTAGATAAAACATGTTATTCACTTGGAGTCCACTAGGGGCACCACTACTGCATTCTGGACCTATGTAGTATTTGAGAAACAGACAGAAAGACAGGAAAGGCAGACGGACAGACAGACATGCGTACCTGAACAGCCGATGGGTTGGTGGTGTCAGATTCTCCGGGTAGGTCTCCCTTCTCTTTCCTCTTCCTGAACTTTCTGAAGTAATCCTGAATCAGGAATGTTGCATAAAACTTGCCGACTGTGACTTCCTCCTCTGCGGGACGACACAGAGCCCCGTCAGCAGCTCGCAGTATTCACGCAAGTACTAGTGGTACCTGTTGTACTCTCTGTAGTAAATAGTATGAGTGGTGTTCTTGTAGTATATGTGGTAGTTCCACTCTTGTAGTACTCAGTGTTCAGTGTAATGGTAGTATTGGTTGTTGTATCAGTATAAGTACAAGTATGTAGTTGTGTCTGTAGTACTCATATTAATTGTTGTAGTACTATTAGTAGAGTGGTAATAGTACCTTCGTGTGGTGGTATTACTTCATCTAGTAGCTTTGGTTTCATTCTCTTCCAGATCTTCTTGATGATTCCCCTCAGCTCCTCGTTCTCCTGGTCAGGGTTACCTAGCAAAAGCATGCAGATATGGATTATGATAATGATCAGTGGTCATATCAATGATCAGTTACTGTCAATCGCTGGGTTGTATGAAGGGAAGTTGTGACATATTTGACTATCATGAACACCATACCAATGCGCCAACATGCTAACATGCTAATGTACGAATATAACATCAGGAATCAGGAAACATTTATTGCCATAATATGTCAGACATACAAGAAATTTGACTTGGCAGTTAGTGCATAACAGCAGACAGTACGACAATAGACGACAAGACAAAAGTGCACGATAAAATAAAATATAATGCTATGGGTTAGTTTAAAAATAAAGTGCACAAGCGAACACAAAGTGACAGAAAGTGACAGAAAGCTATCATTGTAGCATACTAATATACTCACATAATAATATACTAATATGCTCACACAATAACATGCTAATATACTAGAATAGTAACTTACTAACATAGCAATACTAACATACCACAATACTAAAAAATACTATACTAACATACGACAATACTAACATACAACCTTACCAACATACCTATATACTACCATATTGAAAAAAACTAACATCCTAACATACTACCATAGTGCCATACTAAAATACTACAATACTAACATACTAATATAATACTGTAGTACCATAGTACTATACTAACATACTAACACACTATCATACTACCATCAGTGACAGCTGGTGGATTTTTTTGGCAGCCAATCAGTTTCAGTAAACATCCCAGTATAATTCAATGGAGAAAAAAGGGTATCAAACACGTATCATTACTTACTAATATTTACTATTTAACATAATAAGGACATCTTATTCAAATAATTCAGTATATCAATGAATAACACACTATATACAGTCCCCTCCAAAAGTATTGGAATAGTAAGGCAAATTCTTTTATTTTTGTTGTTCACTGAAGACATTTGGGTTTAAGATCAAAAGATGAGTATGAGACAAGAGTTCAGAATTTCAGCTTTTATTTCCTGGTATTCACATCTAGATGTGTTAAACAACTCACGACATACCACCCTTTGTTTGAACCCACCCATGTTTCAAGTGAGCAAGTTAGGGTGGCAAGTGGCAAGTGAACCCTAGCCCATATATGGCTCGCGAGCCATAGGTTTCCGAACGCTGGTCTATATGCGTCATTTGGCCAATCTTATCAGGAAACACCGCATAAACTTCCATTGTTATGCAGACGATACTCAACTGTATCTGTCAATCAAACGACATATGACTAAATGTGACTAAAACTAATATGCATTCAAAAATAGCTGCCAAAATTAACACTGCTTCAAGGACTGCCTTTTTTCATCTACGTAATATATCGAAAATCAGGAACTTCCTGTCTCAAAGTGATGCAGAAAAATGAGTTCATGTGTTTGTTACTTCTAGACTGGACTACTGTAATTCTTTGTTATCGGGCTGCTCTTGTAAATCTCTTAAGCCTCTCCAGTTTATTCAGAATGCTGCAGCACGTGTATTAACAAGAACTAAGAAAAGGGATCATATCACTCCTGTATTAACTTCTCTGCACTGCTCCCTGTTAAATCAAGAATAGATGTTAAGGTACTTCTCCTCACGTACAAGGCACTTGCTGGTGAGGCACCGTCGTATCTTAAAGAGCTTGTAACACCGTATTGTCCTACAAGGCATCTGCGCTCCGTAGATGCTGGTTACTTGTTGTTCCTATGGTTTTAAAAAGTCCTTCCTGACCCTAGTCCTGACACCTGCTGCTGCCATCATCATCATTATTACTTTAAATATTAATCATATTACTATTACTGTCATCATAAACTAACATTACTCTTTCCTAAAGTCGTGCTTTCCCTTCCCACAGGCTTCTGTGGATGGTGGTTCTATCTGATGGTGGTTGTCCCTGCAGTGGTCCTGGCGTACACCTGGCTTGCTACTCGCAGTTATTTGAATAATTTCTGTTATAGGAATTGAATGTATTGTACATCTTTTACATTGTTCATTCTGTACACATGACATCCATTGTAGTCTGTCCATCCCGGGAGACGGAACCTCCCTAAGGTTTTTTCTCTTTTTTCCCCATGGAAGGGTTTTTTGTTGTTTGTTTGGGGAGTTTTTCCTGTGTTGATGTGAGGGTTTCGGGAGAGAGGATGTCGTATGTGTACAGACTGCAAAGACCTCTGAGGCAGATTTGTAATTTGTAATATACTAATATACTACCGTAGTACCATATTAACCAACTACCAAAGTACCATACTAGTATACTATTAAACCATCATGCTAAAATATGAACATACTACCATACTAATATACTGATATACTACCACAGTAACATACGAACATGCTAAAAGACTACACTACAGGTCATTTAACAGACGCTTTTATCCAAAGCGACTTACATTACACTTTAAACCCATGGCTTTCACATTTTGCCCGGGGAGCCATTAGGGGTTAGATGTCTTGCTCAGGGACACTTCGACTTGAGACATGGGGCAGCCTTGCGCAACGACGACCATACCTTCAGTCTTTATCTTCAGTGCCGTTCGAACCAGAGCGAAAAGCGTAGCGTTAAAGGTGACCATCCCATCTGCATTCAAAGGCATGTTCATTGCTACCAGACGCTGAGGAGGAGGTAGAAGTGAAGGAGGGAGAGGTGATAAATTACCATTAAGTGTGTTTAAAGTACATATATATATACCTATAGTGTATAATATATATTAAAGGTGTTAAAACAATGTATACTATATATATAATACCACAGAATGTACTTTACCTTACAAGCCACTCTGTGAGGACAAAGCTTCCCAAAACCCAGAGGAGGCTGAATCCTCCTCAGCAGAGCCACCACGTCCAGATGTTTGATACGACCTCTGGAGAAAGTCACATGGGTAGTTTGTTACTAGACCGGCAGTTTGCCTCCGCTTCCAGTCTTTGTACTAAACTAGGTTAGCAGTTACCTTCGTTTTCTTTCTTTGTTCTAAGTTAAGCTAGAAGTTTCCCCCTGCTTTTAGTTTTCGTACTAAGCTAAGCTAGGATAGCCATTAGCCTGTAGAGAAGAACATACTTGGCCTCCGGGTCGTATTCAGACCAGATCCGCTTGAACTCGTCCAGGTGATGCGGTCCCAGAATCGACCAATCACGTGTCAGATAGTCAAAGTTGTCCATGATGACGGCGACAAAAAGGTTAATGATCTGAAGAACACACAAATTGTTAGTATGTGTTTGTGTGTGTGTGTCTGTCTGTGTGTGTGTTATGTGTTGTTTGTCCTCACCAGGAAAGCACACAGCATAAAGAAGCTGATGAAGTACACAATAGCGAAATTGCTTCCACAGCTGAACTCTTCACCTGGTTCGTAGTCAGACTCTGGGTCACAGCGTTTACCTGGAAGACTGGCCAGCATGATCTCCTGCCACGCCTCACCTGTCGCACACCTGCAAACATGACCAAAGTGAGATGTAACTCTTTACTTGATAAATATTATATTCTACTTTTTACAACATCTTAGAGGGAAAGAAAAGGATATGGAGAAGGAGGAGGATGACAATGAAGAGGAAGAGAAGGAAGATCTGACCTGAAGAGGAGGAGGACAGCCTGAGGAAATGTTTGGAAATTGTTGTTTCTGTTGATCTGAGTGAGATCCTGCATTGCTACTTTCCCAAAGGTCTGAGAGAGACAGCGAGGCGGACAGTTAGATCATAATTCTGTCATCGTACTGTTCTTTAAAGTTTCATGTGTTAGAGCTGCATTCTCTAGTGACCAGCAGGGGGCGACTCCTCTGCTCCCATAGACGTCTATGAGGAAATGACTCTACTTCTCTCTAGTGACCAGCAGGGGGCCACTCCTCTGCTCCCATAGACGTCTATGAGGAAATGACTCTACTTCTCTGTAGTGACCAGCAGGGGGCGACTCCTCTGCTCCCATAGACGTCTATGAGGAAATGACTCTACTTCTCTGTAGTGACCAGCAGGGGGCGACTCCTCTGCTCCCATAGACGTCTATGAGGAAATGACTCTACTTCTCTGTAGTGACCAGCAGGGGGCGACTCCTCTGCTCCCATAGACGTCTATGAGGAAATGACTCTACTTCTCTCTGGATTTATTCCCTCAGTAAACATTGTAAACATGAGTTTATGGTCTCAATCTGTAGTTTAAAGTATTCTTCAATACAGCATGATGCTCATTTAGTAGATTATGGTCCATGTAGTTAAACAGACCATAAAGCAGGGGATGCTTTAGGGCGGGGCTACATGCTGATTGACAGGCCTCGACGTCTTAATATGGTCATTTCCTGTTCACTGGTTGCAGAATAAAAAGATGGCACCGTACAAATCTCTGAATGTCTGAACCAATAAGAGCGCGCCCTAAAAGCATTATCGAAGTGATCTCACCTGCATCCCGATAACGGCGTAGATGAAGAAGATCATGGCGATGAGCAGAGCTACATACGGCAAAGCCTGAACACATGGAGGACGAGGTTACACCCATGCTCACACTGACCACACTGGCTCGCTTTAGCTCCATCCCTGACCTGCAGTGATTTGATGAAAGTCCACAATAGAGTACGAATACCCTCCCCTTTACTCAGCAGCTTGACCAATCGCATCACTCGAAATAGACGGAAGAAGGTGATCGACACCCGAGAGCTGTCCTCCCCACTCTGAGTGACAGACAGACGGAGAGGGAGACAGGGAGACGGAAAAAGAGAGAGAACAGCTGATCATCATACCATGAGACATGCATAAAAGGCAAAATAATACAATTATTTTCAGCAGCATCACTTTCATTTTCTATCTACTTTGTGTTTTTTATATTATTAAAAAATAAAATAGATAATGTGTGTAATATGAAATACAGAGACGATTGTTTTTATAATCATTAATTTTGAGTATTATGAAGATGGTTGTTATTATTAACAGTAATTTCATCATTCGTTATGTGATGGAGCACTCACACTAAATTCGGTGACCACAATATCAACGACACTGCCGACGACGATCAGAGCGTCGAAGGAGTTCCACGCGTCCACAAAGTAATGCTGCAGAGATAAGAGGACGCTTCATTCGTTCACCGCCATTGTCACATCCAGACACCTCGTCATAGGGGGGGACATTCTGTCCAAGTATGAATCCACCTGACACTGAACAAATCTATAATTCAGACTGAAAATATGTAAATAAACGCAAACTCTCTTAAGAGATTAAAACCAAGACTCCTGAAAGTATTCAAATTAATGGAACCCTGGAGACTGCGCTTGTTTTCCTCACCCTGAGCCTGAGGGCCAGCAGCTTAAGCAGCATCTCGGCTGTGAAGAGTCCGGTGAAGACCATGTTGAGGATGTCCATTATATGGCTGAACTTCTTAGACTGCTCGTAGTGCTGCAGTACACACACACACACACACACACACACATACATTTAGTACATGTATGATGACTCTGAGTACACAGCGGAGGTACTGGTGAGTTTACCTGAACAGCCAGCGTGACGGTGTTAAGAAGGATGAGCACAAACATCACATACTCGAACCCGGTGGAGTTGATGATGGACCAGAACTTGAACTGAACTGGGTTCTTTGGGATGTAGAGCTTCAGAGGCTGAGCCTTCAGTGCGAACTCCACACACTGACGCTGTGGAGAGAGGGATGTAGTGTGTACTACCACACAGTATGGAATACTTAATGTGTACTAGTGTACTAAATGTGCCAGCTGCAAACACTGATGCTGTGGAAAGACAGCGGTAGTGTGTACCAGTATACTAGTATAGAGTAATCAATGTGTACTTGTGTAATACCATTTAGCACTCAACTCAATGTGTACTTGTGTACTAGTATAGAGTACTAAAAAGGTACTAGTGCGCTAACATAGTGTACTGTAAAGGTAGTTCTATCAGAAGCACTTATGTCTTCTGGTTGATGTCTGTAACCACAGAAGAAGAGACTTCCTGTCTCCCTGTCTCCGTCCTAAGCAAAGAAGATGCTTCCTCTGTCCAGGGCTGGATTCAAATAGTCCAGTGTTTAGGGAATCCAACTCCACTTCCATTAAGCTACGTAGTTCTGAATGCCAGCCCAGGTCTCTGTCCTCACTACCGACGCAGAGGCTCCCTGTCTCCTGGTCTCACTACCGACGCAGAGGCTCCCCGTCTCCTGGTCTCACTACCGACGCAGAGGCTCCCCGTCTCCTGGTCTCTATCCTCACTACTGACGCAGAGGCTCCCTGTCTCCTGGTCTCACTACCGACGCAGAGGCTCCCCGTCTCCTGGTCTCTATCCTCACTACCGACGCAGAGGCTCCCTGTCTCCAGGTCTCTGTCCTCACTACCGGCGCAGAGGCTCCCCGTCTCCAGGTCTCTGTCCTAAGTTACAGATTGAGTGACTTCCTTTCTCCAGGTCTTCATCCTAACTAAAGAAGAAGAGTACCTACCTGGTTCTTGTCCAGCTCACAGTTCTTGTACTCCTGCTCCCCCTGCTCCCTGAAGGTGATGATGACAAAGCCCACAAAGATGTTCATCATGAAGAAGGCAATGATGATGATGTAGACGATGAAGAAGATGGAGATCTCAACCCGGTAGTTGTAGATGGGGCCCGAGTTCTCCCCGTTAGCGTCGATGGCCTTGTAGAGCAGCCTGGTTGAAGGGAGGAGGGGGGGGTAAGAAGGTGAGAATATGAGGTGAGCTACTAGTTGTGTGTCTGCTGATGGAGGACTTGACTTACGAATTACATTACTATTACTGTCCCCATAAACTAACGTTACTGTAGTTTTAGTTTTGTTTCCTTCCTGTAGTCGTTTCCCTCCCCAGAGGTCTGATTGCATTGAACATATTGTAGATATTTTACATGTGTTTAGGGAATCCATCCCGGGAGAGTCATCCTCCTCTGTCTCTCCAGTTTTCTTTTCTTCTCCCCATCAAAGGGTTTTTCATTTTTGGGGAGTTTTTCCTGTTCATGTGTACGGACTGTAAAGCCCTCTGAGGCAAACGTGTAATTTGTGATTTTGAGCTATACAAAATAAAAACAATTTAACTGAAGCTGTGATGAAGACTCTGCCGATGAAGGTGTGATGAAGACTCACGCGGGCCAGCCCTCGAAGGTGGAGACGGTGAAAAGCGCCATCATCCCCATTAGCACGTTGTCGAAGTTAAAGTCACTGTTCAGCCAGATCCTCTCTCTCACCATGGGGTGGTTCACGTCTCCGTCTTTGTAGACCACGAAGGTCCCTCTGCCACACAGGAACACACAGATACACACAGGCACACACATAGACACAGACACACACAGGTACAAACACACAAATAACCACAGTTACACACAGTGACAAACACACAGGCACACACGGAGACACAGACACACACAGGGACAGACACACAGGCACACACGTAGACACAGACACACACAGGTAGAGACACACAGGCACACACGTAGACACAGACACACACAGGGACAGACACACAGGCACACACGTAGACACAGACACACACAGGGACAGACATGTGTCAGCAGTAGCTTAGACTGAAGTGGATCTGAGATGAATATGAATAATAAAAGTCTTACTTGCACTGATCAGGTGTGTGTTTGGCTTCATCTGTGCAGCGATAGAATTTACCCTGAAACAGCAGGTGTTTAATGAATTAATACATTAAATTACTAAAGATTTTATTCTCGTAGAAGTTGTCTTCTATCTATTTTGTATGTATGTAAAATATTTATATATGTATGTGTATATACATGTATATTGTATATTATTAAGAGTATTTTAACTGGGTGTCATAGAGAGCTGGGCCTCGTTCCTCGTACGTGGCTAACTGAGTTAGCTGCATCATTTTCAGGATAAGTTTACATAGATCAGCTTTTTTTGTTCCACCAAGCAAGTTTGGCAAAATCTCCATAGCGAAACATCAAAAAAATTAAATAATAGCTCTGCATGGTTGACACCACACACTGCAGCCGAGCATCGAGCATGTCTCACAGTGTCTCACAGTGTCTCCCACTGCCCCATAGCCTGTCTCACATACTGTCTCTCACACTGTCTCTCACACTGTCACTCACACTGTCTCTCACACTGTCTCTCATACTGTCTCTCACACTGTTTCTCATACTGTCTCTCACACTGTCTCTCATACTGTCTCTCATACTGTCTGTACGGTGTTGCGATGCAGAGAACATCTGGAAAGCCGCTGCATGTCGTGCTCTTCGTAAAGTTCTGTTGGTTTATTTGGCGCTTAATAAACTTCTGGCTGTTCCATGTTTCACTGCTTCAATTGATTAAATTACTGATTATGAATATTCGCCCATACACAGATTCACACACATAATAAAACTCCAAGTTCTATATGGTTATCTACATACATATGATACATAAGCGCATACAGATACATATATCCTCATAACTATTCATTCATATCAATTAGTAACGTTTTGTTTTTATCTACATAAGGAGTTGAGATCATTATTTCCATTGGATGAAGATGCATTCCATGAAGCCTCCTGCCAGCAGGCACATTTAAAGAAATATAATCAGATTGATTAGAGTGATGAGGGACCTAAAATCAGCCGATACATTTACCAACACTTATGCATATAACTTTCCTGCGATATTTTGCCGAGCTTGTAGCCTCGCAGGGGGGCTGGTGTATGATTTTGATTGTTCAAATCAAATCAATTCATGACAAATGATATATATATATATATGTTTGAAAAAAAAAAAAAAAAAAAAAAATAAATATATATATATATATCTTTTTTTTCAAACATATATATAATATATATACATGTATTTAGTAACTAGTAAATATATGCACATATATTTATATATGGATAATATCTTTCTCACCTTGAAGAGCTGGACTCCGATGCAGGCGAACATGAACTGAAGAAGAGTCGTAACGATCATGATGTTTCCTATTGTCTTTATGGCGACAAACACACACTGGACCACGTGCTGCAACACACAAGAGAGACACACACAAGCACAAACACACACAAATACACAGAGGGATACACACACAGACAAAGAGACACACAAACACAAACATATTGGTCAGCTTTCACTTTACCTTCAGCATTAGTTACTAGTTAGTCTCACAGTAGTTACCATAAGTCCTATTTACCTTGAGTACTAGTATCCTTCAATACTAGTTACTAATTACTCTCACAGCAAGTGGCCTTCAGTACTAGTTACCTTGAGTTCTAGTCACCTTTAGTACTAGTTACTTTCACAGCAAGGTACTTCAAGCATCAGTTAATAGATACTCTCACAGCTAGTTACTTTTAGGCCTTTGGCTCTGTTGATGGCCCTCAGAGGTCTCAATACTCGGAGGACTCGGAGGATCTTCACCACAGAGATGGCACTGGAGCTGCAGACAAGCAGAGACAAACTGAGGTCAGAGGTTATAGGTCACCAGACATATCCCTACGGATGTCCCTAGAGAGGTCAGAGGTTACCAGAGAGGTTGCTAAAGAGGTGTCTAGGTTAGAGGTCACTAGTAAAGTCAATAGAGAGGGCAGATGTTATTAAAGTGGTCTGAGGATACTAGTAGAGGGGTTATGAGAGGTCTCTAGAGAGGTCAGAGGTCACTGGAGAGGTCAGAGATAAACAGAGAGGTTCGGTCGAGGTCCACAATTACATTTTGACTTTTAATTTAATTTAATATTTACTTTTCTTGTTGAGCAAAAGCAAAACGTTGTTTTGATGACATCACTTCACACCTGAATGAACTCAACTTAAGTTGTAGGACAATTGAGCCAAATGCATTTTTAATGAGGATCTCTCTGATCTTTCATTGATAGATCTGAAGGCCTCAGTGAGTGAAGAGGTGTAGCGGCGCTTCTCTCCAGAAGGGAGCAGCACTCACACACTACTAATCCACTGTGAGGACCTCAAGGTTCTCAACCTTCTACCAGAGTACACAGCCATACTTACTGGAGGAAGAAGGAGACCAGCGACACACTGACCACCAGCAGGTCCAGCAGGTTGAACCAGTTCCTGCAGAAGGAGCCCTGGTGAAGAAATGCTCCATGCACTGCCATCTGTCCCAGAGAGATAACGAGATCAAGAGAAGAAGAGCCAAGAGAGTCCTTTCCTCTGGCGTGGAAGAGCTTTCTCACCTTTAGCAGAATCTCCACTGTAAAGATGGAGGTGAAGGCGTAGTCCGCATAGCCCAGAATCTACACACAAATGACAGATTCGAACTTTAGAGGAACTTTTAGGAACAGTTTTACTCCAGAAGGACGTATACAATGATTGACAGGTCTCCAATAACCACAAAGCAGCGCTGCACTTTATGAACGCCATGCACAGTTTTATCCCAAACAGAGGAAGCTGATAGACAGTCCACTTCCTGTCTGTGTCTGTATTTGCTTATATGTTAGAAGTCATTTCTTTCCACAGCTGCTGCTAATTGCTACGTCCTGCATTAAGCCAGCTGCTCACACAGTGTCTGTGTGTGTATTTGTGTGTGTGTGTACACGTATGTCAGAATCAGACAGTATACTGGTGATTTTCTCTCCATGTGTTTCCATAGTTTCCCTCTGTAACCGGGTTAGCCACTGACCCACTTCTGCTCTGTAATCTACTGAAGCCCCTACCTCCCCCCTCCCTCAAACCACAGAGGTGTGCGGACGAAATCATCGTGACAAGTCCTCGCTCTGACACATTCAGCTCTGATTGGCTCACAGTTCTTTTGCACACAAGCCCCTTCTTCTTCTGTTCATCTATTTCAAGAAGCTATAAAACCATTTCCATTTCATTATATTGCAGCACCGGCAATGTCAGCATGTTAGCTAACAGCAGCTAACACACATCCAATCATATAATATTCAAGAAAACAAAATGTAATTAAAGCTGCGAGCAGCGTTGGGCAGGTCCTCGCTATTCCGCACGTCGGGGCACCGGCGGACGGCTAGAAACGCAGCCAAGAACTCCTGCGGCCGTCAGACAAAGCGTTCGAGAGTCAGTCGTCGTTAACCGTGCGGAGCGATGCGCAATGTCATACATTACCAAACCTTCTCTTAAACCTCATTCACTAGCCTTTTTATCAATTTCAGATGGTATTTAAAAAAGGAACTGATCAATAGTTACATGACAATTCCACTTAAGGCAGAGAGTACACATCCCCAAGGTGTCACCCAGGGATAAGCAGGACATTCTGATCTACTACTCCAAAATAAAAGCCTCTCAAAATACCATACATGAGCCATTTTAGAAATGAAAGCCTCTCGAAATGACATATTCGTTTTTAATTGGATACTAGAAAATGTGACTTCCAGTAGGTGGCTCTATGACTTGATTCAACTTTTCAGAGGGATCAGATTGACCTTTGAGGAGCATAACCTGTGAGGAGAAGGGTGTAAAATAAAAAAAATATTTATCTTCCTGTTGTCACCAGGTGGCGCTATGACTAAGGTTAAAAATGATCTCATGGATGTCTACATTGTGAGAAGTTCATGCTATATGAGAAGTATGGAGCAGATTAGATAAAGTATGGTCGAGTTAAAACAACTTCAATTTTTATGGCAAATGGTGTTTTTTTGAAAATGCTCCCTACACACATAGTTTGGAATTTCTTGCAATTTTTAGAGCCTAGGTCCTCAAGATCACACTGCGGCAATTTGAAAAGAATCGGGTTTAATCCCTGGGAGGTATTCGGTCTTTTATAACTCCAAGAAATCATGAAAATAGGCCAAAAAGGCAGATTTTCAACGATTAATTGCAGCGCCCCTATTCTACCTTGAGTTTTCAATGTTCACATGTGAAACAAGTTTGGTGAGTGCAAGTTAGCCCATATCTTCTCAGAACAAGAAGATAGCAACACCATTTCTATGGAACAGGGGGGCATCGACCCAATAATGACCCACAGAAAATTTGGTGACAATCAGAAATAGCGTTTAGGAGAAATGGGCAAAAACATGTTTTTCACAAAATTCAAAATGGCGGAAAATGTAGTTAGGCACATTTGCATATTATGGTTGACTTTTTTTTTAAAGCATGTCCAAGTGCACATGTGTGCCAAATTTCAAGTCAATCGGGCATCGGTGGAAAAATCTGGCCTAGTGTGGCCCTATAGGGGGCGCTATAGGGATATTTCTTGATACTCAAACGCGAGACCCCAAAATTATCAAATTTTTCCCCAGTCCTGATATGCGTGCCAAATTTAACAACCTTTTGAATATGATAAAGGCCTCAAAAAGGGAAAATTCCTTAGAGAAAATAATAATAATTCCATGAAATACAATGGGTTTAATCTCCGACTAGTTGTAGCGAGGACCCTAAAAATTGAACAATTTATCAATAAGGTAAAAAACAAAAGGATGAACGCAGGAGATCTGACTCACGTTGTTCCGGAAGGAGTGGGCTCTGATTGGATCCTCGGCAGCCAATGAGCAGCTGCTGAGGATGATGAAGACGAGGATGAGGTTGGTGAAGATGTGGTGGTGGATCAGAGTGTGGCAGAACACACGGATGCTGCAGACAGACAGAGCCAAGTTAGATAATGCTAACAGTTACACTTGTAGACCAGGTGGGCCATGCTAATGCTAACAGTAATCCTGGCAACCAGGTGACTCACGGGTTTGTCTTGCTCAAGCAGAAGAACGCACTGCCTTCTGGAATGGGAAGAACCTTCTCTTTAGGAGGAGTGAGGTCGGCCATCTTTAACTGGACTCCTGCATCTGATAGGAGGAGTGGTAAAGTAGAAATGAGGAGGAGACACCTACTGCTTCTAACACCATTGATATTCCCATTTCTATTGCTGTAAACATTAACGCGCATCACTAACTTTGTTTCTTTCACAGAGTATTTGTGCTTTCTCGCCTCACAGGTTTCCATGGATCACGGTTCTATCTGGACCCTGTTCCTGCCTTCTACCGTGGTCCTGCTGACACCTGCTGCTGCTATCATCATTAGAATTATTTTAAATATTAATCATATTACTATTACTACCGTCATAAACCAACACAACCCTTTCCTAAAGTCTTTGTGCTTCCCTCCCCACAGTGGACGGTGGTTCTATGTGATGGTGGTTGTCCCTGCAGTGGTCCTGCTGGATTACTACTCTCCATTATTTGAATCATTCTGTTATAGGAATGTATTGTACATGTTTTACACTGTTCATTCTGTACACATGACAGGAGACGGATCCTCCTCTGACTTTCTCCCTGAAGTTTCCTCCCCTTTTTCCCCATAGAAGGGTTTTCATTGTTTGGGGAGTTTTTCCTGTGCTGATGTGAGGTGTTTCGGGACAGAAGATGTCGCATGTGTACAGACGGTTAAGTAGGGCTGCAACTAACGATTATCTTATCTTATCTTGTGATATTTCCAACCCTTTATTCTAAAACAGAACTGCAAATTCACGTTGCAAAAATACTTCAGAAAGTACAGGTTGCACCTTGAACATAATAATTTATAAAACATAAAGAAAAATACAAATCAGAAAATTTAACTGGATTTGTTTTAACGTCAGAATTTGTTCTCTATACTACACTCATGTTCACTTAAAGTTTATTCAAATAATTATTACCCTTATTGTACTGCAAGTTAAGTAAATGTGTCTTTGTGTGTGGAAGTCGCTGGTTGCTTTATTCATTGATCATAGACTTTACTGCCCCGTGCATCCACACTGCTGCTTTGCATCAAGGACACATTTGTCCCGTATTTTCCTCCACGACTTTGTTCCCTCGTTTGTGGAGATCTGCCTCCATGAATCAGAGGCCATCCGGCGTCCTCACAGTCCGCCAATGACGGCTTGTACAAGCGCTCATATTTAAAAGCTCTTCAATCTGATCCGTTCTCTCGTAAACGTTCTTCCTTTTAATAACGGCCGTATTGTGCTGTGAAAACGGAGACGTGAGACTCCGTAAAGGACGTAGTCAGCAGACCAATCACAGCCTGCTGCTGCAGGAGGCTGCAAAGCTTTACACGCTAGTCGAGAAAAATGGGTCGACGCACACAAGGAGGCGTGAAAAGACACGCAAGGGACACGCAGGGGACACACAAGGGACACGCAAGGGACACGCAAGGGACACGCAAGGGGGTTTTGCGTCTGCGTCGCTCTGATAACGCAGAAGCATAAACTAGGCTTTAGTTTTGCTCCGCTCGCATCTCCGCAACGCATTGAGTGACGTAATAATCACGCGACACAACGAATCGATAATGAAATTCGTTGCCAACGCTTTTAATAATCAAATTTTATCGATTCATTGTTGCAGCCCTACTGTAAAGCACTCTGAGGCAAATTTGTAATTTGCGATTTTGGGCTATACAAAATTAATTTAATTGAATTATTGTTATGATTAATACAATTTGTAACCTTTACTGCTGTATCAGTTTTTTTAGTCTAAAAGTCTAAAAGATCTAAAGTCGTTTTCAGGTATCCACTGACCGTCTGCTCCTTCAGGAGGCTCCTCCTCCTCCTCGTACTCTGTGTCTTCGTCGATGTCCACCTTTACTTCCTCTTCTTCTTCTTTTTCTTCTCCTCCATCTCCTCCCTCTCTGCCCTCAGCCTCCTTGGCTCCTTCCGTCTTCTTACTGGAGAGACAACAGTAGGTAATAATCCACTCTGCCCTTCCTCCCTTTTACCTCCAGCCCCCGTTACTCACTTTTTCTCTTTGTCTCCGTCTCCTCCGGCTAGGTTGTCCACGGCGATGGCCAAGAAGACGTTCAGCAGGATGTCTGAACGTCGTCAAGGATCAATCATAACCACACATTGTTTCTTAGATTATGGAACCTTGTTTTGGTGACCTTGGTGATGATGTGTCGCGTGACAACAGAGGATACAGTTACCGCAGATGAAGAGGATGACAAAGTAAACGCACACGATCATCCCTGGAAACACTGGGCCACCGTACGCCATGATGCCGTCATACATCACCATGTTCCAGTCCTCCCCGGTTAGGATCTATACACATCAACATCAGCATAAATATATAGCTAGGGCTGGCTCAAGTTTATAGTTAGGATCTGACTCAGGTTTATACTTAGGGATGGTTCAGCTTTATAAATATGGCTGGCTCAGGTATAAAGTTAGGGCTGGTTCAGGTTTAAAGTTAGGGATGGTTCAGCTTTATAGTTAGGGCTGGCTCGGGTTAAGGTTAGGGTTAAATTCTTCAGATTTCTCTGAATTTATTTCTCATTACATGACATCATTCTGTTCATCTTGATCCCTCTGTTGCTCTATGAGCTTTCTTACCTTTTTTTCTCCCTATTTTTCCTGTACCTATGTTTGGGTTAAAGGTCAGACGATGCCACACCTTTACAGGTGGTGAAGGCCTGGATTGCATTACCTGGAAGCAGGTGAGCAGCGCCTGGGGAAAGGCGTCGAAGGTGCTGCGCTTGGTCTGCGTCTCGTCAAAGTTGAACTTTCCCCCGAACAGCTGCATGCCGAGCAGAGCAAAAATGATGAGGAAGAGGAAGAGCAGCAGCAGCAGCGAGGCGATGGACTTCATGGAGTTCAACAGCGATGCCACCAGGTTGGAGAGGGCCGTCCAGTGCCTGTGTGGTACCATGCAGAATGACATCATTAGAGCAAGACACGGCCTACGAGCTGACCAAAGGTCACATGCAGCCTTCTCACCGTGTGACCTTGAAGATCCTCAGCAGGCGAACACAGCGCAGTACGGAGATGCCCAGCGGCGGCATGATTCCTAGCTCGACCAGGATGGTCTCCACAATGCCGCCGCACACTACGAAGCAGTCAAAGCGGTTGAAGAAGGCCACAAAGTAGTGGGCTAGGCCCAGGCTGTACATCTTCAGCAGCATCTCCACGGTGAAAAGGGACAGCAGCACCTTGTTGGCGATGTCTGCGAGGTCAACACATGCCTTTACATCAGCTATGATATCCTAGATATTACTTTGCATGATCAGGACCTTTTCTAGTGTGTGTTGATGCTGATACTTTTCATGATACATTTCTACACTGTTATAGTACTTTTACTCAGGCTTCAGCTCGGTCGCCTGTTTGCCACTGGTGACCACCTTTTAAAAATAAAATAAATACATTCGTGTGTATATGATACTTATCACAAAATACAAATAAAGCTGAAGGGAACATTTTAGAAGTGAAATCCTGAGAAGAGAAATGTCCCGATTTTAAACAAGACGGACAATTATATTTTCATTATCAGAACATTTATTAGACACAAGTGTACAATTACGATGATGTAGACGGGTATTCTGTGTCTGTGTGTGGCCACCTTGAACCTCCGTCAGCCAATCGGGTTGGTTGTAGTGTTCCGACGCGCTGAGGGAGGTGTTGAGGAAGACGAGCAGCAGAACCAACCAATAGAACGTCACAGACTTGACGGCGGTGCGACAGTTCCTGCGACAGACCCTGTTCCAGCGACGCAGCGTCCGACTGGGAAGAAGAGTGGAGTCAGAGAGGGGGGACGGCTCTTCTGGCCTCAGTTGTGAGAGGTTCAGTGAACTTACCAGCAGCTGATCTTCATGATCCGAGAGCTGAAATGAGACTCGGGTTAGTTGAGTAGAACATACTAACCCATAGCCTTATTCTACTAACCCATTGCATTAGCATTTCATTTTACTTTATTTTATTACTTGTGCACTGCTGTCTTGTTATCTATTGTTACACTGTCTACTGTCGGACAAATTCCTTGTATGTTTGACATATTTTGGCAATAAATGTTTCCTGATTCCTGATTGAGGCCGGTGTTGGGTTCAAGGAACTCGTCAAACTAGCGGCTACCGGAGCATCACGTGAAATTGATAACCTCATAACAGTGGAACAGCTGGAGGACTATCCTGATGGTGAGCTAGGGGAGGGTTCATCCTCTGAAGAGCATGATTGATCTTCTGATAAGCTGGTTATTGATCTGATATCTAGGGGTAATGGCTCTGATCCGGCTTTATCGATCCTGATACTCAGGTTTTAAGATTCTGACAGTGATTAGAAGACAGTGAGCTTGAACAATCAGAGACTGAAGCCGACAGAGGGTGGGACAGGTGTGACGATGTGTGTGTGTATGTGTGTGCGTGTGTTTGTTACCAGCAGTTCTGGCAGCAGTTGGTGTGCTCTTCATCAATGTTTTCTGTGTTTTCAGATGCAGTTTCACTCGCAGGAAGACTAGCTGAGAGAGAGAGAGAGAGAGAGAGAGAGAGAGAGAGAGAGAGACAGAGAGAGAGAGACAGAGACAGAGACAGAGAGAGAGAGAGAGAGAGAGAGAGAGAGAGAGGATTTTAGGGTTTGAATAACACGGTATGATGAGATACAGATCGACACAATCAGCTCCAGGTATCTATATATTTTAGGACTGGGCACGTTAACCTGTTATAACTGTGCTAACACCGACAATGATCATGTGTTAACAGCATTATCTTCTCTGTATATCTTGTCACAGGAGTACTGTGAACCTGAAGTACTACGAGCCTGAAATACTGCAAGCCCGCAGTACTGCGAGCCCAAAGTACCACAAGCCTGAATTACTACGAGCCCGAAGTAATACGAGAGGGAAGCGAGGGCGATAGAGGTGAAATCGGTGGGACACAACAAATAGGAGATGGGTTTGCAAAGGGAGAGTGTATGTCAGCAATTATTTTGGTAAAATAGTTGACAAAGTCTCCCGGAAGAAGCGTGGAGGGGTGAGGAGGCTAAAGTACTACGAGCCTAAAGTACTACAAGCCAAGCACTACGAGCCCAAAGTACTACGGGCCTAAAGTACTACGAGCGTGAAGTACCACAAGCCTGAATTACTACGAGCCTGAAGTACCACTTAAAGCACATGAAACTTGGGCCGACTGCGGCGTGTGGAAAAAAGCACGCAACAAGAAAGAAGGGTCCTTAGAATCGCAGCGAATGAGCCTCCCCCAACACACACGCTGTAAGGAGAACACACAAGTTGACGGCAATACAACAAGCATCAACTGCTCTCACTGACGACATGCAGACTCACACAACAGTCTGAAGAACATTTGCACCAGTGAAAGCTTGGTTCTCTCTTGCTGGTCATGTTGTTCAGAAGAAGAAAGGTTCTTCATCATCTGAAAACGTATATTACTTTTGTGTCTCAGCAACTGGCTCGGTGCAGAGGAGTAAGAAAAGGAATGGATATAAAAGGTGGACGTTAAAAGTACATTTTGTGTGATTGCTCAACCTGCATCACTGGAAGTGATTTTTTTAATTGACTGAGATTCAAAAGAAATCAACAGTCTTTACAGACTAAAAGGTCTGTTTTATTTGTGATAGACCACTAACAGTGACCCGTACTACTGAACATGTGCATTATGCATCATGCTGTTCCCTGATAAAAGACAACGTTTCTTCTGGTACCTGTTCAGAAAAAAAACATTCATTCATACGCTGTATGTTAATTTACCATATTTTCCGCACTATAAGGCGCACCTTCAATGAACGACCTATTTTAGAATATTTTCATATATAGGGCGCACCGGATTATAATGCGCATAAGATACATGTTTGGCAGAGCGCCTTGAGCGCCGTGTACAACCAGTATGGATCAACCGATTAACCAATTGATCCATATATAAGGCGCTCCGGATTATAAGGCTTTTAAGTGCGCCTTGGAGTGCGGAAAATACGGTACTGTTGCTTCGACAATGCCTGTTCTATTGTCCTGATAAATTGCATTCAAAATAAAAGCGTGCAGTACACAAGTTTTTAATTTATTTTTGCGCATAATGCAATTAATCGCTGTTAATTGAATATATATATGTATACATATATATGTAACTATATGTAATGTAATTACATTTATAAATATATAAATGTGTCAAATATATATGTAAATTATAAATGAATAAATAAATGTGTGAATATAAATGATAATTGAAGGGTGGGTTTCACCGTGTGTTTCAGTGGAGTGACTGAACCATCCAAACTTCCCTCGCTTCTTATCGGACAGATCTCCCAGAGACGGACCTGAGAGACAAGAAACAATTATCATACACATTAATATATACTTATACACATTACCATTTCAAGTATTATCACACACACAGACACACTCTTACGCGGGTTGCCTTCTTCGTCCAGCTCGTCCATGTCCTCGGCCTGAGTGATCCAGTCCATGTATCCACACAGGTCCTCCTCCATCTGCTGCTTCTCCCTCAGCTTCTGGAAGTCTCCACGAGCCTTTGCCTTCTCCCTCTCCTTACTGAACTCTCTGCAATTTTAGCACATTAGCACACCATTAGCACAATTTTAGCACAAGACTTTTTCCTGACATGTGGGTTACAGAAGGTTGAAGGAACGAACCCACTGAGGACTCCCAGAACCAGGTTGAGGACAAAGAAGGATCCGAAAATCACCAGGCTGACAAAATAAACCCACGGCAGCTCGAAGCCGATTGCGTCGTTCATCTGAAGAGAGAGAAACACCGAGTGAGTGTGTTCTTCAGAAAAAGGCAAAGAGGCAGTTTCAGAGTTAACGAGTTAAAAAGACATGAAGACTTAAAGACATAAAGACCTAAAGACTCACCGACTCAGAGACTCTGAGGGCCTTGTGTACTAACGCTTTTGCGCCCACTTCAGGCGTATTTGTTTTGCAATGTGCATGTAAAAGCATGGCGAGGTATGTACAAACGTGCTCTGAGGTAAAAGCGCAGACTACCTGTCTCGGCAACTGAAAAATGCAAATTGGACCCTCCATGTCATGCATTCACAGGGTCAAGGGGAAGGGGGAAAGCGTGAGTTTACAATGTAAGTGCTACAGTTAGTTAGTGTGTTAGTGGAGGTAGAGTCTGAAGAGGTGTGTCTTTAGTCTGAAGATGTGAAGGCTCTCTGTGGTCCTGATGTCTTCAGAGACCTCCTTCCACCATTTAGGAGCAGGACAGCAAAGAGTGGAGATCTAGTCGAGTGTTTTGCTCTCAGTGAGGAGGAACAAGCAGTTTATCACATGCAGAGCGGAGAGTGCGGGTCGGGATGTCGGGTTGGACCAGGTTCTGGATGTAAGCTGGACCCCATCCATTCACAGCACAAACATATGGACATACATAAGTGTTTTAACGTACTTATCTGCTTATGTTGTTAATTCTTGATTTTTTAAAAATTTGTATTTTTGATTGTATATTTTTTATCTCATTCTTATTTTATTCTTATATTTTATTCTTCTTATATTGCACCAATGTACCAAGTCAAATTCATCTATGTGTAACACATGTGGCAATAAAGGCTTCTGAATCTGATTACCTGATGAACTGCAGGTTTCGTAAATACGACGTAAATGGGAATCACAGCGAGCGCTATGTGCACGTTTTCCGTTTCCCGTTTCACGTTTTTCGCTCATAACGCTACATTTGCAAATCTATGTACATGAGGCCCTCAGAGACACAGAAACTCTGAGACTTAAAGACACAGAGACTCTGAGACTCTAAGACCTACAAAAATAAAGACCTAATGACCTAAGACTCAGAAAGGAGAGACTTTGAGACTTAAACATTCAGACACTCAGAGACAAATAATTCTGCAAGAGGTTCACACCCAGTAGAGAACGTCGGTCCAGCCCTCCATTGTAATGCACTGGAACACCGTCAACATGGCAAAGAAGAAGTTGTCGAAGTTGGTGATTCCACCGTTGGGCCCATCCCACCGGCCCCGGCACTCCGTCCCGTTAATGCTGCACTGACGGCCGTGACCGAGGAAGGCACACGGGACCGGGTCGTCCTCCACGTAGTTATCTGCAGTATCCATTCCAGAGAATGGTACTGTGAGCTCAATGTTAATGTTCTACTAACAAACTTCTTTTTATATATGAGTACTCTGGTAACGTACTTCAGTATTTACATCTAATATATTACACATGTGGTAATATTGTATATTCCTAGTATCAGTACTTTTACTGCAGTAATGGATCAGAGTACTTATGATAAAGAGCTTTCTCTGAAATACATTTAACTATCCATTAATACATATATATATATATATATATATACTACATATTTTCTGAATAGTGGTGGTACTGACTCCTTATAGTAGCAGGTCTCATTTCTACTTGATACTAGTACTGGCGGGTGGTAGTACTTGTACCTGACTCTTTGTAGTAGCAGGTCCGGTGCATGCGGCCAATGAAGAGCTCCAGGCCAATGATGGCATAGATGATGATGACGAAGAGGACCAGCAGGGCGATGTGGAGAAGAGGAACCATCGCCTTCATGATGGAGTTCAGCACGATCTGCAGACCTGAGGGACGCGCACACACAGACTTTTCACACAGGACGCACACAGGTCCACACACGGAACGCACAGGATGCACACATAGGAGACATACACACACGGACACGCATACACACACACGCACACACACACACACACACACACACACACACACACACATGCACGCAGGACACACAGAGAGACACACAGACACACACACAGACTCACTTGGGACCCCAGACACTAATCTGAGGGGCCTTAGGACCCTGAAGGCTCTCAGAGCTTTCACATCCAGACCTCCAGGTTTTCCTGGCACGTGATGAGTTGTCGCCACCTCGCCGGATTTATGAGTCATCGTCTCCAAGACGACGCTGAACAAACTGAAAAATAACAAATTAGAATAACAGAAAAAGTTGTGAATGGAAGGTCAAAAAGCTGAGCCCTGAAGAACCCCTCTAATAAGGTTTTATGTTTCCGATAAATATTTATAATAAGGAAAATCTGATAGTTGGTTCATCTTTTTTTTTTTTTTCATCTACATAAGTTAAGTCATTAAAAAACTATAGGTTTATTTATAATGTTTCTCATTCAGAGAATATCACATTAAACCCTAACCCTTTCTCATATTGTAATGGCAAAAATGTATATTACTCTTCTTTCATAGTACGAACAAGGTTATGTAATGTGAGGTGATGCAAGTGCTGGGATGGTGTGGCCATGGAAAAGAATTGGAGCTGGAGTGTCTGGAGAAGTATAAGAACTGCCTGGCCTTGTTGACATGGGGAAACATGAGGAAACGTTTTTCTAAGTAAATTAAAAATGTAGCATGAGGACTACCTTAGATGTTTTCAATTCATTGATATTAGAGATACTCTGAGGTTGACAGGCTTTTATTTTATCTAGACATTCTAGCCACTCAAGGCTTTATATAATAAGGACATGAAGGACTTGCTAAATATCCAAAAATGAGTGAGGAGGATTTTATGATGATTCACAGGATGTAATTAAAATAATATTTAAAAAACCTGACTGATGAGAAACAGTTTTTTAAATGTTCTTTTTTTCCAAAGAACATGAGCGCTTCTCACATAGCATTAACATTACCTTTCAGCTAGCACTTTGTTTGCCTCTGTGGCCAGTCAGACAGACAGACTGTGAGATCTTTACTCATAATGATGAGAAAATATGTTTCAATATTTGTTTCCTTTGAGTATTTCAGTGGTTTTATGGAGGATTGAGGAACTGGTCCTCAGGAAGTGGAGGATGTGAAGTTTACTCAGTAGTCAGAGGATAGCAATCACAGTAAGCTGTCACATACACTCCACACAAATCCACTAAAATGAGATAAACTGTGCCGTTGCTGTAGGGTTTGTTCTACACTGACCACGGGACAGGAAGCTGCGGGGTTTAGTCAGATGTGATTTACTGCAACAGCTCCTTAAACTCGGGTTCACTACTCAGAGAGTAGTACTACTGTAGGGAGGCCGGGGGAGGACAAGAACAAAGAGCCAGGATCTACAAGGATGAGGGTCTAAAGGAAGGCCTGGGGTCCAAAGCGAGGACCAGGAACCAAAGAAAGGAGTGGGGTCTAAAGGAACTGGGGTTCAAAGGAAGGCCTGTGGTCTTGAGTCTGCAGAGAGCTCCAGAGCCTGATTGAAAAACCAGAGTCTGAAAATAGTAAAACTTACTTAATACTTAGAGAAGCATAATCTGAATGGAGAACATCTTATATAAAATCAGAACAATAAGATAACATAACACTTGAGAGACCAGCATTCAGAGAAAAGATCCAGTATCTTTCCTCATTATTCTGCTGGTTCTGGTGTTTTCTCACCCGACGATGACGATGACAAAGTCGAGGAGGTTCCATCCGTTGCGGATGTAGGAACTGGGATGCATCACAAGACCGTAGGCCAAAATCTTCAGGAAGGTCTCTATGGTGAAGATGATGAGGAAGACGTACTCCACTTGTTCCTGAAGGACACAAAGAGAGATCCAAAGAACCGCTGGAAACTAGAACTACCTGCTCTATAAACAGCTACTGGTGAATTTACATGGTGGTGGAAAAAGAATTCAGGTCCTTTACTGCATTACAGGTACTACAATCTCTTGGAGCTGGGCCTAGACTTGAACTTGAATCTGACCCTGGAACTGAACCTGGACCTGATGTGTCAATTCATATCAGAGTTCCTATAAGCCCAAATATAATGTGGGCGGGGCTAAAGCAGGCTTTAGCTATAGCTGAAAAGGTGCTTTTTATGATTAATACTGTACTACCACTAAACATGTGAACATATACAGTACAGTGTCTTTTGTAATTAAGTCCAAACCAATAACATATCAGGTACTCTGTTATATATTATATAAATATTTCAGCAATGAACGCATCAATAATTATGATTTACAGTATTTTCAAAGTCATTTTCAGTACGTATACAAGTAACATTAACTGTTGTACTTTCAATTTAGTGAGGGTAATTTTATTTCAACAAAGTATTTCTACAATATGGTATTAGTACTACTTTCACCGTGCACTGTGCCGTCACTTTGATATTCAAGGACTTCCTGAAGAAGCTGAAGCATTTTTGCAAAAACTGATGCAATTGGAAACCTGTCTGTGGTCTACTGGATGTGTCTGATCTAAGCCTAGCTTAGCATAAACTACTGACCACTGATACTGATCTTAGTCCTTCTACCTCAAACACAAGCTAGTTCCTATCACGAGATGTTGTCCTGCTCTTCACTGTATAGTATATGCATATAAATATATACAAGTCATATTCTTTGGGTGACCTGATCTCACCAGGTCGTGGTTGGTGGAGTTGGAGTCGTCCTCAGGAAACGGTTTGGAAACTCCCAGAGCGACACAGTTGGCAAATATGGCTAAAAGAATGAAGATATCAAAAGGTCTGGGATGTGGATTCAGGAAAAACACCAGAGATGAAACCACAAGAACATCAAATGATATTCAACATTAAGAATTCCCATTTTGTCTTTTTTTGTAATTAAAAAAATAATATAAATGTTTTTTTAAATAACTTGTCATGATCAAAATGATTAATAACACTTTAAAATACCTATGTTATTTTTAGATTTAGTTTTTCTTTTTTGATACAAAGTCAGGCGGGATAAAAGCTGAGAGCTGATCGTTGAACAAAGGGATACTTCCACTCCACGATGGAGAGGGCAGCTCGTCTGATCGGGTTGTTGAGTTTTAGACAGTATAAAGCTCTTGGAGCACGCTGGACCTGATTACTGCCCTGGACCTGAGGAAGAGGACGGACATCACCATCATCGTCATCATCACTATTATCATCAACACCACCATCACCATCATCATCACCCACACCATCATCACTAACACCACCATCATCACCATTACGACCGGCCACACCATCATTATCGCCACCATGAATATTTCTGATCATAGTCATCACCATCATCATAACCACCACTATCATCATCGTCATCATCATCAGTGGGGTCATCATCATCATCCTCATTGTCATCATCATCATCATCACCATCACCATCACCATTACCATCACCATAATCATCATCATCATCATCATCATCATCATCATCATCACCATCATGATCATCATGACCAGCCCATCAGAGGCTCACGCCTCTGTATCACCCTCCCTTCCCCCACCTCCCTCACCACCAACGACCCTCTATATATGGAGAGAGATGTTAACAGGCTCTTTAAAAAACAAAACCCTCGTAAAGCAGAACTTAATGACTACAGGCCTGTCGCCCTGACCTCTGTAGTCATGAAGTTTTGAACGGCTAGTCCTGTCCCACCTGAAGACCCTCACTGACCCCCTCCTGGACCCCCTGCAGTTCGCCTACAGAGCCAACAGGTCTGTAGACGATGCTGTCAACATAGTCCTCCACTACATCCTCCAGCATCTGGACTCCCCAGGAACCTACGCCAGGACCCTGTTTGTGGACTTCAGCTCTGCCTTCAACACCATCATCCCGTCCCTGCTGCAAGACAAACTCTCCCAGCTGCACGTCCCCGACTCCACCTGCAAGTGGATCACTGACTTTCTGTCTGACAGGAAGCAGCATGTGTAGCTGGGGAAACATGTTTCAGCCAAAAGCAAAAACTGTTTGTGCCTCTTCAACCTGGCAGGAGGCTGAGGTCCATCAGGACCAAGACCCCCCACCACACAAAAAGTTTCTTCCCATCAGCAACTGGACTAATCAACAGAGCCCGGGATCCCCACTGACTGACTCTGTCATCCCTTTTTCCACCGATCACTCCCTTCACACCCCATATGCACATACACTTGTCACATTCACAACACAGTTGTGTAGAGTATGCCTATCTGTTTGCTGGTGCACTTTATTTTTTAACTTATGTTGCTTTATTTTTTTAACTAACCCATAGCCTTATATTTTATTTTATTCCTCTTGCACTATGTGTCTTA